CAATCTGTGTTATGTGCATATGTTCTGGTCATTTCACTCATCTCAGCACAATCGACTATCTTGGCTTTGGCTTATATGTACCATCGCCCGTCCCTAAACACATAGAAAATCTTGTCATGCGAACAATTTTCATCTAGTTCAAATCCAAGATAAAAAAAAATTTCGCCACGAACGCCATAAATTTAAACCGTTTAAAATGGTGCATTCAATCCAAATGAATACAAAAAAGTAGAACTAAAATTAAATTCATAGCCTAAATCACCTAATGGGACACTTATTCTAGTGTGGCAAATAAAATCGTGAATCTTTTAAAATAAGACATATGGACAACAATGGAAGATGGATTTCAAAAATGGCTTCCATATTCGTAGCTTAGGTTATTTATTTTATTTTGTGTGTCCCCTGTGATTGTATTATTATTCAATATTATTAACCATTATGTATGTAGACACACCACTGATTTCACTTTCAGATTCGCTAGATTTTTTATGTAAAAAAGTTTAATTAGCAAATCAAAAACTGTGGATAAGGGACGCTGTACATTAATATACAAGGAGACAACCCTAAGAATGTGCGGTACGCAATGCCAAGTTTGTATGAATCCGTTGGTGTTGTTGTTGGTAAGCTTGGAAGAAAATGAATCGTGAAGCAAATACAAGGACAAATTATTTGTGGCCAACAACGCTATCAACCAGAGACGGATAGACCACAAAAGACTAGACAAATTCTTTTATTTTTTTCTGCCTGCAATTTATCTGCCTTCATTCGTCACTATCTGAAAGAAATGAAACTAGCAGATATACAAACCCCTCTAGTTTTTTTTATTGTCGGACAGCTACCATTGTCACTTTCAATGCACAACATAACGGAATTTGGTATTCTAAAAGATTCGTTCCTTTGTCGACAGCATTTCTCCATGCAATTTTAATTCCTTGTGAAACGGAAATGTTTCAAGCCGCCTGAATATTATTTAGCACCATTCTTGTGGGTTCGTTCGTTCGTTCGTTGTGGCAGGAGAGCGTTCCGTTCTGTTCTCAGACAGTTTACAGTCGGTGTAAGGAAACCGTTGTCTTCTTGAATTTTGGCTTATCACGTGTTTGATATATAACCATTATTCCTGTTTAAATGTTTTAGTTGTATCAATGGCTCAAAAAAGAAAGGAAGATTATCCCGCAAACTGAATGCCATCTCAACTGCAGCGTGACGCAGATGCAACGAATTGATTGTCTCTATCTTCTAAATAACAATATATAATTGTTCACTTTAAAGTTTCTATGCTTGTGAACTTCCAAACTCAACTAGATACATGTATTTCACTGACAGTGCGAATACCCATTCACCATTTTTATGAAATCTAATAGGTTTGTATACAGTTTCCGGGCATCGTAATACGCCATGTGAGACTTGTCGACCACGTAGATAAATACATACATATTTGGACAATTTAGACGAGTGTAGTGAACCCCTTTCCTTGCATATGATGGGAAAATTTTCATATTTTCTGTTCATTCGTTGTTTTCCTCTTTGTCACACCGTTAATGAGAACTCATGCTATTGATAAGTCTTGGATGGAGTGAATGTGCATACATAATCTGGCAATATAACTCGTTACACAATACTATACGTTGCATATTTTATGCTGCATTTTATGCACACCACGCACACCTTAATTGTATTTATCTTCTCTCTCTCTCTGATTATTATTCCGTGTGGATTCAAGTATATTCATCGACTTATTGTAACACGGACGTAGTGCTGGGCTGGCTACAGGATGTATCGGTGTTTTGAAATGCTCAAAATTGTACGACAAGCAACTAAATAGACGACGCTGTGTGTGTGAGAGGTGAAATGAAGAATAGGTTGCCTTGTTAATTACTCAATGAATGCAGTTTTGCTTTATTCGCCTTGTTTATAGTAAGCAGGTTATTTGTAATAGGCCCACAAACGAGCCACAGAATAGGGATGAATAGATAGGTAGGCAGACTAGACGTGCTTGAGTTCATTAAATATGCATGGATCATCCTAACCAGCGTACAACCAAATAATCTGCAATGGCCAAGTCCAATTCTTCTTCAAAGTCGAGATCGGGAGGAAGATGGAAGGCATGGAGGTGTACCCCGGAGGACATTGTCGTATGTGTGAGTGTGTGTATAATGTGCAAACAAATGTATTCCTTCCTATAAATTCACCAACCTGACCGGACGACGGATATCGTTTCGTATGTTGTTAACCATATTTATTATGCATTGCCACAGCGGAGGGCAAAAACTTGAGAATTGAGTTGCTACAAGTGAGACGTTGTAATAATATTTCATGTCCCTGACTCGAGCTCAGCCCAGAGAAGAATCCATTCAACCAGGCAATTGGCACAAAGGGCAGGACCAAGATGAATACGATTCCACTCGGAATATCACCCCAGCCCAGGCAGCGAATGATATATTAGTGCAAGTGCTGGAAGTATCTTCCGAACGAAATTCCATTTGCACCTGGCTAAGAAATTTGTGTCCGCGTTTAACATACGATAAATATGCTCGACCCTTTCTCGCTCGGTTTCTTGAAAAAAAAATGTCGTCGATCTGTTCTCTTTCAGATATTTACATAGATAGAAATGAACATAAAATAAGAAATACCTACGAATGAATGGTCACTAACTCATTCTGTTCGCCAAACGTTGAGCTGGTGGAGATCCGTGGTAATGATTATGGTTTGTAAATAAGTATGTATAAGTAGGTATGCATGATACGTCAACTCATTGTTAGATTAGAGAACAACGAGGATGCAAATTGCGATTCAAGATGCGTTGCAACGAAGGTAAAGCAAAAAAGTCACTGTAATGCAATTCTACTGCTTGTAAATTACTCAAATGATTTCACTTCCTCCTCCGTTTAATTGATTCAGCAACTGCATAAGCAAACTTTGTTTGATAGGGATAAATGCATTGCGTTCATTCATCAGCTTTTTCTTGATAGATGTTAGTTTTATAATTTATCCTTATTTAATCTGATCTTACGTAGTACAGTTCTTCTGAAGTTATAAAGAAAGTAAATGTGTATACATCCATTCAAATGTAAAATTCATGCGTTTATATTTCTGTGCAGTTCTACGTAACTCGGTATACGGAGTCCTTTATGGTCTCTAACTACAAATGTACATATGTATTAGGTCACCATTAGTCTCAACCAAAGTCCAATTGAAACATATTTAGGAATGTGGTCTGAGTGAACACATTTATAATACTTGGATCAGTCGTCCATGCAAAATTGTGTGTGCAAATTATGGATTCAATTTTGGAATGCTAATTTGGAATCACTCGAAAAATTGGGAGGAAAAGGAAGTGTGCGATAAATCTATTGCATCTGAGAATTATAATTGTCCAATGTTTTCAAAATAACTTTTCATATGGATGAATGGCAAACCCCGACTGGAGCTCTTCCAAAACATACCTAATTTCCATATCAATGGTATTCAGTTAGGTTGCATAGTGTACATAAATGAATTAATCTCATAATTTGTTTCGTATAGTTTTCATCCAATGCAGGAAACCCTACTGGTGATGCAAATAAGGAATAATGATGTTAGACTACAATTTCGGAGTTCTCATTTCACTTTTTTACAACCCAAGAAAATACACATTGAAAATAGAGTTACGAAATCAGACGCTAAAAGCAGATATGTAGTTGTTGAAGAAATTAATGAGATGAGATAGATCCTCGCCAAATGTAAACACGGAACTATACAATTAAGCACTCGTACTTCTGCTTTTATTAAGGCTAAATTTTAACAAGTATTGCCAATTAGTAAAGAACACGTCGTTCACAAAACCATGCCAGAAAATTTTCTTTGCCAACTCGATTTCTTTTAATAATATCAAACCAATTTAGTAAACATTGGATTAGTCTAATACTATTCTGAGATGAATGCAATAAGAGTAAGAGTTTACATTTGTTCATAGTGCTCAAATTTTATATATAAACCTCTCTCTAGCAGAGCTAAGTGATAATACGTTTCGTTTTTTGGGCTAACAATGCGTGACCACAACTTTATTCTCTCGCTGTGCAAAATAATTATTTCAAGTTTTCTGAATGAGCCAACAAATGCAGTAGTGCAGAATCCAGTTAAAACAGTGTAGAAAAGCAAAAAGTTGCATTTGAAATGCATTTTGCAGCCATGGGGTACAAAGAGGTATTCAAAATAGTCGACTTATGCAGTAGTTCCAACTTGTGAAATTTCAAATGTGGACAAAAAAATCGTCTCTCACTTTAAATGCAAAAGTGAGATATTTAGAAAGAACTTGACCAACCACAAGAAAACATCATCTCGTGAGGATTCATAGCTGTTGGAGAGTCAAGATGGGGATTCTTCTTACTATTTAAAATTCACCCTTCGACTTTTTCAATTGAGAATGAATATCATTGGATATTCCGCAATAAACGCGTTTCGTGTCAATCACTTTTCAGTTTTTGATTTTAGTGATGGTTCCTTATATGAAGTGCAAGATCATTATTGTATTATTATTGTACATTAGGGACGCATATGTGGAGGAACTAATGGAAATAATAGAATGCAGAAATTTGAATCGATGCAATGCAGGTGCACCCAGTCATAAGTGAAATGCATCAAACGCATGCAAACCTTATTTGGCCGTTTCTCAATTATAGGAGTCAATAATCCTCAATAGAATAATAATACCTCCGCCGCTGTCATTCTTTTGATACGGTTCTTTCTTCATACCCATTCACTCTTTAAGAGCCGGTCTTGTTATTTATTAAGTTTTTGAAGACCGAGTTTTTACTCTTGATTGGTTTGCCTTCAATAATGAACGTTCCCTTAAATATTAGTCGAAAGCCAGGTAATGAAATCCTGACCAAAAGCTCAATGCTTTTTTAACTTGGATTACACAGTATTTTATGCTTTTATGTTGAAAAGTCCTCCTTTTATTCACCTTGATGCATGGGAGAGAGAAATATGCATTGGCATGACTTTGATATTGGTGAACGTACCTGTTATAACAGTGCAGCAAAAATATAGCAGGCACGTTAAGATCCTTGCTCGCTGATAGCAGTCCCCACGTTGTTGTGCGAAAAATTCATAAAGATTTTCACAAACTCGGTTAATCTTTGCAAGTTATAAAAGCATGCATAGTTTTGATTGGGCTGCTGTTTGTGCAACTTTTGTCCTGCTCCTTATTTGACAGCAGGTAATGGCATGGAGGTGTTTCCTCTTATCACTTTGTCACAGAGTAATAATAACGCGTCTATCGGGACAATACACAATCAATACAATTACAGAAGTGGTATTCCCAACAGTGGTGGGCGAATCGATTGAACCAATTGCGGCAACCAATTTCCAATAACGAGCTCCTCTGATGCAGATGGGGGACACGGAGTACAATTCTCAAACAAGTGAGGATCTCTATTATTACATATTCCTATTATTATTACTACTACTACTTATCACTTGATATCGAATGATGGTCAAAATAAGATAGGTGTAACAAGCAGTGGGTCTTAAAATACGTTGTCACAGTCTCATTTTCAGGGGATCATACTTGGCAAGTTACCAAAAGAGCCAAGTACTTTGTTACCAACTTTAGAATATTATAATCTATACGATAATGAGCCAGTGTCAGACCGGCAACAATGAAAGGTTTCCGAATTTTAGAATTTGTTCGAAATGTAGAAATATTTGAGACTGATAATTTCCCATTCTTCACTCAACTGATGTGATGAGAGAGACGGACGTGTTATTAAATGGTCTCACTCGTGCTTGCAGAATTGTAGAGGAAAACGGGCCTCCCCAACAAAGAGAACGCTCTTCTTCTGACTTGGACGATCGCTCAGCCAACACTGACGACGAGTAAGGTAGACCGGCAGGTAGACTTCGCTTTGGGTGAGAGAGACGTATGTGTGGTGCACCTTGCCAACGTACGCACGGTATTTTACAAGGAATATTATGAAATGATATCAGAAAGGGTTGGATTTGGATAACCGCAACAAAGGACGAGAAGCGTATGAATTATCCACACTAATCCATATTATTAAGTATGCTCTGCACATGTGTATGTACATACGTCAAATTATTTCCATTGTAATAACGACATTATGATTTGCACAATATGAGATCAACGAATTACGCAAAACTTCCACCAGCAATTATTATTTCCAGCCACTTTACTTTCTCGTACTGTAAGTGTAACCGTGTAAGGAAACATTTTTAACATAAACAGGTTGTCTAAAGGAGAGTTTTTAGAATATTAGTTAATGTGCTCTTGTGTTTAAATCTTGATTAGGTGTCTCCCGTAGTCTAAAACTTGTCAATAGCTCTCAAGTCGTTATATGACAAGCTATTGTTGCTACACTCTAACCTAAAATAGGGTCAAGAGCACTTTCTCCTATTGCCTACTCAAGGCTGTTCCTCCGGATGCATCAAGGGAGACCTCGCCCTTCGTCAGGAAAGGGAGACTTAAATTCTGCTTTGGACAGTTGCACTCACTAGAAGTTGCGTGATTCACTCTACTGAAATCATTGTAGAAATTCTGCCATCCATAAATTAAATTATTTAGATCTCCAGCAACTTTCTCTCTCAAAAACACGGCAGTAGCAGTGATTGAATTCGTTATACTATTACTTTAATAAATAAGTGAGTGAGTGAAATGAGTGGATTTACTTACTTAGCTAACCGACCTAATATCCAGTATCACGGTTGGGTTAAGCACACTTATCTCGCATTGTTTGTCGACTATTTCGGGCCCACTAACAGATTACATTAATATTGCATGCATTATCTCTCCAGCTCTCAGTCAAATCAAATTATTCAGCATTCATACAAACATTACGAGTGTCTCATCCGGATCAGCTCTGAATTGTGGCATTTGGAAACTGTCATTTCCCATAATTGGAAATGACAAATCAATGAGCAAACCAGTCTCTCATTGCGATTCTTCAATCGCGTTAATCGTGCTATTTGACATTATACGTATGTACATACATATAAAATACCGTGCATATTCTATATAGTGTTAACAATCATAAAATTAGGGTAAAAGTCGATCACGACTCCAACGTAAAGTCCTCTATAGCAAAACAAGAATTTCCGCTTCAATTTTGGTCACTCGACGACTTTTTACATCAAAATTACAATAATATAGCAATCATTAAATAAATTGTCACCACCAAGCCTGTCGGAAACGGACACAACAACACAAAAATACACAATATGCAACGTGTTCAACTGTTTGAACTTCTATAACTTAAAAATTCTAGTCTGCTAAACTTTGTTATAACAAAAAAATATGCATCACAAGTATCACGGAGTCAATTGCAACACAAGTTTTTATGACGGCGACTTTGTTTTATATACAATTGTAAAAATAGATAAATCGTAATGCAAATGTGTTCAGAATTACTAATCCAGCCAGTTTTTACAAAGGTCAATGAAGGTTGAAGTGAGTTTGCAAAACACAGACGACGACGACAACTACGGAGTGTTGCTCACAGGATGGTTCAACTTGAAGAAATGTGTATACTTGGCGTTATTGCTACCATGCAAAACCCACACCACGCACAAATAATTTGTTACTACAACTTTGGTGCACTCTATTTTATGAGGCGGTAGGTTCGCTGCCATATAAATAATAATTCCCGTAAATTCTTGTTTCTCGAAGTTAATAAAAATCGGGAACTCATCAAAAAATGATCTTTTGCATACATTCGTAGCTATACTTACTTGTTAGTCATCATCAAATAACTGGGGTTGCAACCATTCAATGGTAAGAAAGAGACATAAAAAAGATTCACTTCCTCATTGGACAGTTTTGGTGGTTCGATCTGCATTGCCCACATTCAACATTCACCAATATATAATTTCTCACACTGCCTCACGACTTCTTTTTGTCTGATATTTTGCAGTTTCGTATTGGCCATTATTTTCACACGACGGATGAGAAGACCAAGACTTATCTACCTACCTAACCTACCCAATTATTGTACTTTGTTGTTTGCTCCTTCTCCCTCCTTAGGTAACTGTTAATATTCATCGATAAAATTCGTTTTTTTTGCCAAGCAGATCATTTTATTTAATTGTTGTCTCGTCTCCGTTTTTGCTTATCAGACCTGAATGTCTGTAAAAAAACGATTTCTGTTTAATTTAATTATACGGTGTAAACTGGAATTGGCAGACACAATAATTTGGTTTGACGTGTTGCCAGTAATTACAATTACCCACCCAATGTGGTAGAATCTAGTTATCAAGACGCATAAATTAGCTGGATAATCGTGACCAACAGTTTGCGAATATTTAGTTTTTTATACAAATTCATGGTAATAAGTACACAACAATAACTCGCATATATGTATATTTACATACGTTGTGCAAATTCCAGACGAGAACTGGAGAGTTTACTCCAGAAGGTTGACTTCATCGTGTAAGTCTTGATTGCGCTGAATCTTGGTGTAATAAAAACTAACGACTCTTTGACTATTGATTGTTAATTACGGCAATTTTCCACATTTCCTCCTAAGTGCCACGAAATTATTCTAAATAGTAATTAAATTGGAAGAAGCTCGACAACACTACTCCTCTTCTTCTTCAATTTTCTTATTGTTCATCATCAACACTCAGACATTTGATTGGACTCAGCAATAATTATCATTTCGTCGATGACTGGCTACAAATTGCACGCACCGCTTTGATTGGTAACAGGAGTAAAAGTATTGAAACAGGAAAGAAAGATTGCGTATAAACTGCAATTATTTTTTAGGAGGTAATCAATCGTACATGTTCATGAGTGGGGTATGAAGGCGCCGGGCCGAGGATGCGACCTTTAGCAAGGAATGTTTATTATGCATCATTCTCTCCGGGCCTAATGTTGCTGGCAGATGACTTGCAAGTTTAAGTTTTACCGATACACATGTAATTACAGCGAACAGAAAAAGATGCTCTTGTTACCTTGATTTTGCCATCTCCATCTCCACACACTCGTACCTACGCACGTTTCTTGCAGGTCTTTGACGAAAAATTGAACGAAATAACTATGGCAAATGGAGTAAGAAAGAAGCGGACTGCTCATTCTTTCTTTGCATGAAGGTGTAATGCAGTGATTGATGAAAGCATTTCCTCCCAGGCCAATTTATTAACTTGAGACCGGTCATCATGAGCAACACCATCTACTAAACATATTGTGTTCAACACACAGTTCCGTAATCAAAGCCAAGAACAATGCTAAGGATAGAAGGAAAAATCTTTTCAGAGTCCGGCAGAAATCCGTTCCGATGCGATGATGGTATCAACTGAAGAGGAGAGTCATACATCTAGTGTCAGTTTACGATTTATATAGCTGTATGTTGATCCAATATGAACAACCCCATCAGTAAAGTAAAGTGAAGTGAAGGAAGTTCATTGGCCCGAATTTTTTGAACTCTTCTATCCGCATCCCGTACTTTATGTTGACTCGATTCTTTCACAAAGGCTGACAATTATTGTGTTTTTTGCTACTATTTCAATAATTTAATCCAATCTTGACCTGACATACATCAGGGCACCGAGGTACGTGTGTCCTCGGTTGTGTGGACTGGTGCTTTACTTGGAAATTCATACTGCGGATCAAAGTTGTGTCTGTGGAGTCGAGTTTGTCGATACGTTTGTGTTACGTAATAACAGGATACTGAATAACTTGTCGTCTCTTGAGATTCGTTATTATTCTGCGAGGCATAATCATAGAATTCACTGCTCGTCAGAAATTCATACATTATACGATGTATGTCAGTATATACTACATATATTCACCATTTAGTTTACATGAGCTTGAAGTGCAACCAAATATGTGAAATATATTTAGCAAGAACTATCTTAATTGCATAGTAAACTCAATTCAAGCGAAAAATAAAACCGGATGCAAGACAAACGTTTTGTGATAACATTTTTAATTAGTTCGTGTAAGGATAAAATTCTAATCGCATAATAATCAAGTTTTCGTTGTGTATTATATTGCGTTTTTGTATTCATTTTGTATATTTGTCAATGTGACAAAAATATGTTCATTCAAAAGTTTTGTATCAAAGAATTTTAGCGTCATACAAAATATATTTGGAATTTGTATTGAACCCTCAAACAAGTGGGTTTAGAATGTTTCTTATTTATCTTTGGCGTCGTCGTGATCAAATATTATCAGGTTGGAAGTTTCTGTAGCCTTCATAATAATTAGCTTGATAATAATGTCATGTGTTGATAATTGATTTTAAGTGACATTGAGAGGACGAAGAGACTAATAAGATACATATAAGTAGTCGTAAACCTGAGTAACTTGAGGGTCATATACCCAATCAGATTACTTAATCATCCAATTTTAGATTGGCGAATACCTTCCTGTTTAAATCTATATTATGTTACAAGATATGATATCCATGTCACAACTGACTTGCCAGGAATAATTCAAGAGAGATGAGACAATACGAAACTTTGTACGTAGGTGTTTTATTATTGATTTTCAAAAGGTATGTTCCGCACTGTTTCTGACCAAAATTTTAATGAAATAACAAGCTTCAAATACATTTAGGTGGCTGTGATTTTTTTCAGTTCTGTAGGTCAACATAAACACTAGCAATAAATCGGCAAACTTTACCTCGACGGAAAAAATGCTAGATTTGCAAATTAAATATCGTAGTGTGATTTAATTTTTAATGCTGGATGGGCAATATAACAAGCGTGTCGCAGATTTATGATTGAATGCTTACAATTTACGATGAAAACTGCTCAACACAAAACACAAATTCAATTGGGTTAATAATTTTAAATGATGGCGAAACGAGGTCTCGGGCAAAAAGTCGCCAGGACGCTCAAAATCCGTTTCTTCCACAGAAAGGCTCCGGAAACTAGAGGAACCAATAATGAGAGATCCGCGATTGAAACTGTCCTATTTAGCAGATGAGATGGGTGCTCAAAAACCAACAATTTGTCCCATGTTAACTTAACATTTTGGTATGAAAATGGTTCCCGTCCGTTGGGTACGAAAATTGCTTTCGGCATCTCAAAAACATGATCGAGTCGACTTTTGCAATGCCAATTTTAACCTATTAAATGAAGACTTGAACCTGCTCAATATTTTATTAGCTAAATATGGTACCTGAGTTTACTATTATGACCCGGTGACCAAATAATAATTCCCTCAATGGAAGCACGAGGGGTTGCCACCGCCCGAGAATTGAAAAGTGCAAAAATCTGACAAAAAATTGATGATGACCATTTTCAAGGATATCGAAGGTCCCCTCCTTATAAAATTTATTGCTGGAAATACTACAATAAATGGGGCCGCGTATGCAGGTACCCAGAAGGAGCTGCGTCCTCCGGGTGAAAAGAAACGTGGGGTCAAAATAAAGAGTTGGCCTTTTTTTAGACGACAACGCTCCTCCTCATACCTGGCTTTTTGCGAGGGTTAGTGCAGACGAAAATCGCTTTACCTGCACAAACCACACCCCGAGCAGTCCAGACTTGACCCTTAGTGATTATTATTCGTTTCGAAACTTAAAGAAAGACATCAGGGGAAAACGGTTTTCGGATGATATTGATATGAAGTCGAAAATTTTGGCATATTTTCGAGGTAAATTTTAATGAGTTATTGCTAGTGTTAATGTTAACCTACAGAACTGAAAAAAATCACATCCTCCTAAATGTATTTGAAGTTTGTTCTTTCATCAAAATTTTGGTGAGAAACAGTGCGGAACATACCTTTTGAAAATTAATAATAAAACACCCACGTACATGCATCTTCTACTGCCTATACGCATAATAATATATGATGCATCTACATAAATGCAGTTCATCCTCGTCGATGGAATGGAAACCATTACCCACCGCATGCACTGATGAAGATGGTACATTATTTGTGACACAAAAGAAATCAAACAATAGATGACAATGACAATCTTTTGTTTCACAACTTAATCACGTATGTCGAATATTAAAATGTGAGGGAGACAAACTTCCACAACCTTGATCTCCCAAAATAAACTTGCCATATGAAATGGTTATAATGTTAATTAAAGCTTAATTTAACTTAATAAGTATACAATTAGGGATGCTAGTTGAAAATCCTGTCTAATAGGCACCACCCCTCGGATGGACGTTCATGCATATCTTAATGAGCGGAATTTCCGAGGACAACAGCGTGAAATTAAAGGAGACACTATTACTCATTCATAAACTTTGCGGTTTTAGCCCATCGACCGAAATTATGCAATTCGAAACATTAAAATGTAATGGGTCAAAATCACAATAAACATATTTAGGAGCTCGTATAAGTCATCATACATAATGCGATGCACTAAATTGTACCATTACTAATGCCATTAATAATCCATTAAACCGTTAGTTATTAGCGGAATGCATCTGTCAATTAGTAAGATCGCTTAGAAGGGCAGGTATATAAATAGTTAAGCCTACTCGAGTTAAGCCAATTAACTGATTAAATACCGATTGCACTTGTTTGACAGGTCAATGTTATCCATCGGAAATGGAACATCGATGTAGTTTAACTGTACCTAATTATTTCTCAATTTGTGTGTGAATATACAATTTCGTTTAACTTTGATGAGGACAATTACTGTAATTTCTAATTTAGACTGCCCAATCATTAAAGACAAAATGAGCTTAATATTCTGTAATGAAAATACTTTTATATATTCTAAGAAGAATTCATGGATGTACAGAATATTTTTTTACTTGCGTATGGAACAATTCTGGTCATAGTGCTGAACTGTTCCCTTTGATGCATTCTTTGATATTGCTGAATTCCTGTAATGTAAAACGATTGCATCGATTATCGTAGATATAAATACAACCGCAAAACTAGTATCTGATTACTTGATTTTTTGCAAAGAAAATTAAGCGAAAAATACAACACATATTTGCATCTGTAATGACATTTAATCATATGCACGATATATATGCCAGGAATCGTACATATTAAAATCAATGTGGAGTACATCAATTGAAATTGGTATTACGGTTTATATCCCAACTAATTATTTTCTTTATAAAAGCCAGGCTCAAGAAAAAAGCAATCAAGTGCGAATTCAAAATGGTTTTCTGCTGGCGTGGTTCTTCGCACATCACTATAGGCAGTTGCACATTAGAGCGGCACACTAGTACCATGCACATGTTTTGAACATTTGCTTTCCTTCATCTTAGTTTCATCGTCAAAACGGAGATGAAGAAGTGGATGATGATGAAAATAATGATGAGCCTGATTGACTCAAGGCAGTCGAGGTCCAAGAAATTGCAATTTGCAACTCGGCTATTAGCTACGGTGAAATAAATAATGATGACGAGTTGATGAAAAATGAGGCAAAAGAAAGAATATTTCACTTCCTGAACGCATACTCCGTTAGTGCAAGTGCTTGAGGTGGCGTTTACCATCTCATCATCCGTAATCGCATAAATGGCAATATGTACACAATATTGGACAGGAGGATCCGCCCTCCAGTGAGAGGTCTCCTCCGCAATTTGTATCATTTTTCTCACATTTATCATCCCTCCTCCGCAGAAAAGCTCAATAATGTGGAGATGATATATTTATTGCACGATGCATTATCATTATTATTGGGAAGGGTGAAATACATAAACTCGAATTTCTCTGTTATGTAACTTTTTGTTGGTATAATTACAAAACTGTCTATCAGAAGTTGGAATGGATTTTTTTCAGGACAAATCTGCCCTCTGACCTACCTCAGCAGCTGGTAAAACGGGTAAAACATTATGGTGTGTACCGTCACCCCTTTCACCTCAGGAATTATTACCGTTAATTATAATGCATTGGTCAGAAGTTAAGAACTACCGTTCAGACGTGCCAGTACAAATATCAAATATTTCATGTGAAAGGTGTCCTTCCGTAATCTTTTGGTGAGGCAAGGTGAGACGCAGATAGGGAATTTGTTGAAACCCCATGTTGAGACTTGTGAGGAGAATGTGAGACCGTTGACAGAGTCCTCTCATTAGGATCAAGTGGACGACGACGACGGAGACGGAGCGCAGATGGAGCGGCCGAGGGTGCAAGTCCACTTGGACTTCGTTGTGCTGAGTTGTCCAAGGTGAAAGCTATGATTCCAACCATCCGCTGCCAAATTCATACCGCACGTATCTCTCTCTCTCTCTCTCTCACTTGGCCAAGTTGTTCAACTAGCGAATAAAAATACTCTCACCCAGTCGAGGGGTCAAGAAATATGGTGGGCAAGGAAGAATTCTTGGCGAAAGCGGAGGATGTCGCAGATCAGGTGAGAATACTGGTCAAATTGGAGATTAAACTAATGTCAAAGCTGTCGAGAGATTTTTTGTTACGCAACATTTATAAAACATTCAACAAACATTATTTTTGTGTTTCTTCTTGGCCTAGAAAATAATTATGTTCCATTCCCCCAATAATTACACGGTTGAACCCCGTCGAACTTGTTGCGATTGCTAACTACACCCACGCGGGGTCATGTACTAAAGATTGGGATATTTTTTTCGTAGATTTTGAGAAAGTCAAAACATATACTTCCTCATGTGGCGAGATTATGTCTGATCTCTACCTTCTTAGAAGATGGGATTCGAATGTGGGTGCAGTGGTCAGAACAACGGGATTATATGGACGCATCCTGGGGGTGCGGCTATTTCCTCGCTACACTCTTCGTTTTCATCAACTTAGTCGGTATTGCACATTGGCGGATACGCGGAAATTGAACAGATAATCAGGATAATTTAATGGATAGTTAATAATTGTTATGTACGTAGGGCAACTCGGAGGTTGTGTCATGGTGTTGGGACGTTTGAAAGTTGAAATTGCTTGTGGACTTCTTTTCTTCATCGTCGTTTTACAGGTTATTTATTATATTGTTAGATATTTGATATGCAGGACTTTGTTTCTTCCTAACATTGCAAATTGTATTTTATGTATACAGACCCTTGCATACAGCATATTGTGGGACTTCCAATTCTTAATGAGAAACTTGGCGCTTATTGGTGCGCTTTTGCTTGTGCTGGCCGAAAGTCGCGTGGAGGCAAAGAGCATTCTGGCCGGAGTACCCTCATTGGGTAATAATAATTTCTGATAATTTTACATAATAATGCAGTAATCAATGTGATGCACATACAATTAAATTTATTGCATTTCAGGAGAGAATAAGCCAAAAACCTACTTAATGCTCACAGGACGCGTTCTTCTTGTATTCATGTTTGTAACGCTATTACGATTGGAAGTTTCGTTTATGCAGGTCCGTATTGATCTTCCAGGTGTTATCAAAGGTCTATGGTCATTGTCATAATGTCATTATCTTTTTGTTATCCATTTAGATTATCCAAAATATTGTCGGGTCAGTACTAATGGTGCTAGTAACAATCGGGTTCAAAACCAAATTGAGTGGTGAGGTTTCATTATACATATGCTGTCAGAGATGCGACAGCCTTGCTAATACACTTTTTCCTATTCCAGCTCTGATTCTTGTAACATGGTTGACCATTCTCAACTTTTATTTTAATGCATGGTGGACCATTCCGTCATACAAACCTATGCGCGACTTCCTGAAATATGATTTCTTCCAAGTATGTGCTCAAAATACATAATTAATGGCTTATGATAATACATACAATGTATGACGTGTTGTAGACCCTCTCTGTGATTGGTGGCTTGCTGATGGTCGTCTCTTTAGGTGAGGTTTAATGTTGTTATACTTGACTTTATTATAATTACAACATCTTAAACTCAAACTGGAAGCCTCTTTTTAAAACCAATGGATTTTCTCCCATGATCTAAAACACTGATATTTTATTTTAGGGCCTGGTGGTGTCTCAATGGACGAAGGCAAGAAGAAGTGGTAAAATAGATTAGTCTAGTTTCTAGGTATATAAGTAAGTTCGACATCATGGACTGAAGAACTTGAGTTTTAAAAGTAACACGAAATGTTACACAATTTTTTGATGATAAATAACTGTCATTAACTTTGGGAAAATATTTTTGCAACAAATCTGATAAAAAAAACTTCAAAACATTATTAAACTACTATTGAGTTGAAAACTGCACAAATGTACTCATTCTCAGTTATTTTTGCATAGTGTTACAATGAAAAGTTATTTCTATGCTCCATTTGCCCGAAATTTGCATTCTTGAGAGCTACATGATGCATATGCATATACAAAACAACGTGAACAGTGTGAGAGATTTTTAATTTAATCGACTGTGGCATAATTTATTGCAATAAGCTACCAACACAAAAACTTCAATTAATTTCAAGTCTTGTGATAATAATAAACGGGGCCCTAATACAAGGTTATCTATCTATTATGGGATATTTAATATATAAAATTGAGTTTAGACACTTTGTGTCGTTTAATTAAACCTAAGAAAAATTTATTATATATATAGTAAAAGACAAAAAACAAGAAACTTAACCACGATACCAACAAATTAAACACACAGTATAGCAGGATTTAGTATAGATAAGGTACCTTCGTACACTATAAACGAAAATAACCATCAATCGTCAACTAGTAAAACATTAGATGAGACTGTTAGAAAAAACTTTGAGTCAGTTCTTTGACTTGGATCAATTACTTGAATTTCAATTCAGTCCAAGAAATGGGTCTTCAAGTACTTCATCATCCTAAATTAAAACAAAACATATTTATTAGTCCATGCATCGTCATTACTATGTAAATGTCCGGCTAACTTACCCAAAAGTTCTGAACCGTTTCACTCCTGAAAGGTAACATCAAAATAAGAGATATAATTTAACCGGAAGACATCACAATTAAAAACATTTTATAATTATGTTATTCATACCAAAAACGGCAAGCAGATCCGCATTGCAAATAGCAAACTGTTTGTTTTTTCTGCAAGTGGTTCAAATGAAACATTAAATTCATAAATATTCCACCTCAGCTAAAAATGTAATTCACATTCACCACAGTTTAACATATTTAAATTAAGGTCATGTATACTCACGGATCATACAACTGCTTCTCCTTAATGATGCCCCACATTTTCTTGACCACTTCGTGACGAGCCATGTTCTCTTCCCCCATGACCTTAGCCAACTCGGGACTCAATCTACCTGTAAACCATTGTAGTACACGCATACATTGCTGCACGACTCACATGTTTCGAAGTACTAGTTAATGCAGCATTTAATTAAGCTTCAAACTTACACTTCTTAACGTATCCTCCCTTCCCCTTTGCCTAAAAAATAAAAAAAACAATAGTGTTAAAAATTGTAGTGTCCAGAATTAAATATGCAATATGTAAGGCCAACTTACAGCAGGCTTCTTCTTCTTCTTGGGTTCTTCCTCAGAATCATCATCATCATCAGATGCCTTCTTCCCCCTCTTTTTCTTGGGAGTATCTTCCTCCTAAAATGGTAAAATAAATAAATAATTAGTACCATTAACACAAATTGCAACAAAATTATTATGAAATATCTACCTCAGATTCAGATTCATCTTTTGTTTTACGCTTTGACCCCTTGTCGTCTCCTGCGCCGTTTTGCTTATCTTCCAAAATTTCCAAGACCAAGTTGTCAATTTCTTTTTTCCTAAAAAATTATGAAAAGTTATTTTGTTGGTTACCGGTATACTCATTACATAAATTGAATCAAAGTTGTGGAATCCACAATGTGGATATGAGTGAATATAGAAGGTATTTTACTTTTCAGATAAATCTTCGTCAAGTTTGGTTTCCAATTCTTGTCGTACTTTCTTTGCAGTGATGGAGTTGAGATCAGCAGTTTCCAGAATTTCTGAAATAAACAAAATGTCAGTAATGTCTTCTTAATATCTGCATAGATAAATCATTATTGAGATTATATTATTACTAAACAACAGTGGATACCTGCAATCAGTTTCCTCAATTGGGCAGTGTTAGCCATGTTTTTTAATGTTGTAGTAGAATATGAAACAGTTAAGCAGGATCGAAATTTGTGTGGATGAAGATTGTTTAAGATGCAATTATTTTAAAGGAAATTATTTGTAAGTGCTTGGCTTTCACTCAGTTACGGATAAACAAGTGCGTTCGAGTAAAAGTGTAGAGTAGATGACAGAGCCTAAAGCCGTGGTGCCGGGTGCTTCCAACACTTGATGGACTTGGATATGGTGAGAGTTGTTTGGAAAGCAGAAAAGCCCAGCCACCGTCCTCTAACGCTTATAACTCCACATCACTTACTGTTGTACAGGCATTGTCTATTATTCTCAGGATTAGATTCATACGGACCATAAAAAATGTTCCATGAAAATCAAAAATATTTATTCCTTTTATGCTCTAGACCTTCCCCACCATTGGTTCCCTTTCAAACAAATTAAAGTTCTTTAAAATCTCTGATGTTTTACTAATGTTGTCCAAAACATATTCTAGGTTCCAGTGCTTTTGTAGTAATGCTAGGTCTGAGCTGAATGGTCCGACTTTTGTGCATCTTATCTTTGTACATACAGCGACTGAATGTAGTTTTAATCCCAGTTCATGAATGAATCGACACAAGTAGTTTTCAGTTTCGTTGATTGTGCTGATTTCTACAAAAATGCCAAAGTGATGTTAGTAAAATTTGTTAAACCTTGTGAAAATGAAATCTGCAAGTAATATGCAATACCCAAGTCGAAATGAGGGAGATCAAATTTGATACATTTAACTGAATATATAATTGGGGATGATTCAGTAGCAGCACGAACAACACCTTGACTGGCTAATTCATACGCTCTTTCAGTGTCCATTCGAACGCCTGCCACACTTTATCAACAAAAAAATAGAATAAAATTACCTACAATACAAGCTAAGGAATAAACTCCCCTGTATAGTATGTTAATTATACATACGTACTCGAAAGCCAATTTTTGGTGTGACGCTTGACTTCTGGCAAGCATGCGATCAATAAGAAACCTTTGAATTTTCTCAAACTTGGCCTTCTCGAGTACTTTCCCACTGTGAAAAAATGTGTCGGTGGCTTTCCCAAATTGGCCTGATACTACGTAGGTTTTCAGCCATCTATTCTTATCAATCAACTGAGCTTGGAACAGTCCTTTGTTGATACCGAGAACTAAAGTACAAATTAAAAATTAATCAAAATTAAACATTTTATACACAATTCGATGAGACTGTAAATTGCATACCCATTACGCCAGAAGATTCGAGTCCTAACTTGTTGGCATTTGCAATTTTCACATCCTGCCATGTATAGCCTGGTCCTACTAGTAAAGGGTGGTCTGCAAAGCTTTTCTGTTTAACAATTCTGATGATCCCTTTACCATCATCAATTTCTCCTATTACTTCATGGTCCACTTCAGTGTTTATTGAATGAATTTCACCGATGGGTTTAGTCTTTGGAACTCGTTGTATCTGCACTACTTCTTGTCTAGGGATACGTTGCATTGAATTGAGATCTAAGAACATTTCATGAAGCCCATTTAATTGTACGTTTTTATACACAAATCCTGATTGTACCTTGGCATATTTTGTTTTTCAAAATTTTATGTGTTGCTCCAACTGATATTCCTGGCTGCTTGTAGACACATATAACTCCATTTAACAATCCCCATGCCGAAGTTGCTTGTCGCAAAATAGTTGATCTTGATCCGTTGACCAAAGCCATCGATTAGCCTATGTTAATTAAAAGAAGTTACGCATTAAAACTAATCAGATTTGTTTATTAGAGTATGTACTTGGGATTACTTCATGTTCGAACAAGAAAAAAGCCTCATTATTACATTTTTAGACTGAGGTTTTTTTATTGAGTCAATATATATATATATTTTGTATACACAAAAAAGTTATAATAGGAACAAATTGACTAAATTCACATACTAACACCATGTGATTCTTGAAGGCTTGATATTTGTGTTTCTAAATTACATAAAGCTTTAGAATAGTCTTGTCATGGAATGACATTTACATATTTATGCATAATAGTAAGTGTATTAATGCATTAATATTCACGTCAAACATTGGAAAGGTAACCAACTGACTGTGAAATATCCTTCAGCATGATTTTTAACTAGCAAGGTCAATAATTTATTTGAAACACTGCTTATTAATGGCCGCACTATACCCCTTTGTAGCTACAACTCCTCGACTTTTCAGATGAACTTGATAGCGAACAACCCATTTTAAATCCCAATGGACAGAAGAGCTCTCACTCTTGAAGGTGTCATGCGATGCCAATGCTTCAATCAGCATATTTATTTTCTCCTGGCTCAGTGCATCTGAATGATGTCAAGAATACAACAGTTTCAGTTATTAATAATACTGCCAATTTCTAAATTATGCGTACTCACTAATTGGGTCGCTGTGAGTAAGAAGTTGAATTCCTTCTTTTTTACAAAAGTCGGCCAATTCTGGGGGAACGACACAACAAGATGCTAAATTTATCTGAATGATTCCCGGTTTGATTTGTGCCCAGTCATGAAGCTGGATAAATAGCTGAGTGTCTACATCACTTAATCCGATTACTTTCACTTTCCCATTCCGGACCATGTCTTCCAATATCAACCAAGCCGACTTGACAATGTCCAATGATATCGGAATGCCTTCCATATGTCCAGAAAATGTAACAACCAAAGTGTCCAATGTTTCCGAAGAAGTCAATCGTAACCCTGAACCATCAAATAAAAATGTGATATTGTTATGAACTTATTTATTCGCACTTTAGTAACTTCATGTGGTATGATACCCTTCTCAATGGACGACGCAAGGTCTCCTTTTTCAGGAGAATAGAGGAATATCTTGAGACTTATTTTGAGATCTTGCCGTTCAGAGTCCCCATTAACATTTTTTATGTCATCCCCAAAGACCTAATTAAAGGTTCAAAATATAACCAACACTTGACGTTAAATACAATATATAGGGATTACTAAAATAAAAAATGTGCTGCAAACCTCATACACATCGCCGGTTTGAATAATTTTACTTGGTCCATCAAAACATGATTTGAGACTTTCATAAACCTATGAAATTTGCATAAAATAGCATAAAACGAATGTCAAGAATATTAACTGAATATGAAACCTCACTTCCTCGTTTGCAGCATCACTTCCATTTTTCCATGCAATTGATTTGGTCAGAATATTTCCAGATGACAAAATTATCGATTGCCCACATGCAGTGTCCATGATTTGAGCTTAAAATAACGCCCTCTTAATTTGGACCTATTTATTTGTCAGAAGTTCAGGCTCGTTAATAGTATTGACATTATAATGTAATATGTTATGAAGAATGCATACCAGATAAAATAGTACACATTTGATAATAATTTATAGCACAAGAGACTGACTATTAATAGGCCTCAGAATTACGACAAAATTAGCATGTCGTTCTACCTACCTTCAAAAAGACGACTACCGAGCCTAAAACGACAACCCGAGAATTATAAATTAATATATGCACAGTTGTTGGTGATCTGACGAGATTACGCAACTAATTGATTGACGTAATCTATTGAGACCTTGTTCACACACAGGCTTTAGGTTAGCAGCACTACCACATTCATAATGACCTTGCTATTCCTACATGCACTATATACAATACAAATACAATTCCTACAACTAACTATTCAGCCGTGCAGATAGTGCTGCTGATAATAATTTGACTATTTTGTGTTGTATGAAAATGTTATAAACACAGCCATGATTTGTTATTTTTCATTTGGTTCAAGATGTATGAATCAATTCATTTTTAGGGTTCTAAACATGTTGGCATATTTATTTTCTATTATGAATGACAGCCCAAATGCTTAAAAAACAAATGTTACATCAGCTGACGAATCGTCAGTGACGATTAGTAGACATTTTAACAACCAATCAACATCACTACTACAAATAAGGGTCAGAGTTAAATCTCTAACTAAACTTATGTCCTACTTACCTGGTTCTTTTGGTATATTTCAGCAGCGCCGAGGAAGTTGAAAATGTTTATTTTTTGCAAAATTCCTTGGTGAAAAGTTTCCACCTGCACGAGATGAAGAAAATCAGATTTGCGCCACCATCACCACAGTGCCCCAGAATTTCTTTCAGGCACAGCGGCAGGCGACCGTTGCACAAAGAGGAAGCCCAACAACATTATTATTTTGCCTCCCTCTCTCAGATTTTTAATATTTTGACCAGTGAACCCCTCGGGTTGCTATAAATAATTGGATTTTAAATTGTCACCAAGTGTGCTGTTTACCTTTGCCATCCTCAATTCATCAACTACTATTCATCAATTACTATTTTTTTAGTAATTAGTATTTTATTGCAGGAGAGGAGATTCCTGCTGTGACTTGTTGATGTTATTATAACATTGTTATATAAAGTCGATTGAATTATTATAGGACGGCACCATGTCAAGCACTAACAGACGTCGGCGTTCGGTACGTTAGCATCAATATAGTTTACTCATTACCAATATACGGCTTGCATCGAGTATTGTATTACACATAATTATAAATTAGTGATTTCGTGTATTTATTGTGTGCTTTAGATTTTGAAATCCACGCGAAATTCCATCCTGAATGTGGCTATGGACGATAGCGCAAATTTGAGCGGATGCATCCCATTCAACGACAGGAAACGGGTTAGCTTTGGACATAAACAGATTAAGTGAGTTACAGTCATATAATAAAATTCTAAAATTCATTAGCATCTGTATTTGCTGAAATTGAAAAAGAAACATTGATTTGCAATTAAAATTAATGTTTCAGGGAATTTCAACCTGTTTTCAACGCAGAAAGTCCTCCCACGAATGTAAATATGATTGGAAATGGGGGTGGAGAAAAAAATATTAATGTTACTTCACACGCTTCAGCAAATATGGACCTGACTTTCAATTATTCAGAAAATATGAATACTACTTTCAAGTACCCGGCAAGGATGGATGTTACTTCGTACGCTTCAACAGATATGGACCTTACTTCATACACTCCAGCTAACCTGGATACTACTTCATATTCTCCTGCCGATATGGATATCACTTCAAACTTTCCGAATCTTAATTTTACGTCATATTCTCCAACTAAGGAGGACGCCACTTCATATTCTCCAGCAAATATGAACCTGACTCTACGCCCTTCGGCTAACAAAGACATTACCACATATTCTCCAGCAAATATGAATGTTACTTCATATTCTACGGTCAATAAGGACGTCACATATTCTCCACCAAAAATGAACCTGACTCTACGTCCTTCGGCTAACAAAGACATTACCACCTATTCTCCAGCAAATATGAATGTTACTTCGTATTCTACAGTCAATAAGGACGTCACATATTCTCCACCAAAAATGAACCTGACTCTACGTTCTTCGGCTAACAAAGACATTACCACATATTCTCCAGCAATTATGAATGTTACTCCATATTCTCCAGCTGTTATGTCGTCTCCAGCCTTTCAAACGCGATCCAGGGCAAAGTTGCAATCTGCACTCCCTATCACGGCTCTCTCTTCACCGCAAGCCATCAACCCCGTTCAGTCCAACGTATTTCGAAATAAAAAAAACAACAAACAAGTTATTAGCACTGTTTTCACCACTTTCAAGACTCCCAAACGGAAACGCAGAAAATTAGATTTGGTGTCTTCCCCTAGCACTGATGCAATTAATACTTCAAACAAGGTAGAAATTGCACAGAAACAGATGCCAAATATCCTTAACAATGCAACAGGTCACTTGCCTCCTCTGGTACTTCCTCAACCCTCATTTATCAGTAACTCTGAAATACCACAACAAATAATACCAAATTGGCCTAGATCTATTATTATAACTGCTGAAGTTGGGACACAGATAACTCCACAAAAGATAATGCAAGAAGATCAAAAATCACAAACAATCAGTGATCCTGCCCAAGCTTGCTCAATGGATATTCCCACAACAGTCTGTGAGAAAATGCAATTAGGGCAAAAATCTTACCAACAGGCTGAACTATGTGACGCTGAAAATGTCCGAACCGACTTTTCAAGTTTGCGATCAAATGTTTCATGGGCCACATGCAATTCTGACATCACTGGTAATTTACTGAGTGAACAAGCAAGTGAACAAGTAAATTTTTTTACTCACCAGAAACAGCAGGACTTTGAAGATTCTGGACTAGAAAATGCCTTTAAAGAAGCTTTGACAATTCCTTCAAATCGCAACAGCTTTGTCAAAACAGATCCACTGAAATCCACTCAACAAACATGCCCTAATTTTGATCCACCTGAAACAACCTTCATATGTAAAAGGAATGACCAATCTGAAGAAATGCTTGCAAATCAACAAAATCCTTTCTTTAATAACAATGACTGTGACACTACTGAGTTGGATGAAACAACAGAGACTTCACGACCACCACTACTAAATCCGCTCAATCTTAGCCAAGAATTGCTTCAGTTTGTAGAGAGAAATTCTGCGGTTACTGGAGGCCAACGGCTTCGAACAATTGAAAATGTTATGCCAGAAATTGTAAATATGCCCCCTGAAATGTATAATCAATTTAAAACGCTGTATATTGAAAGGTTTCAACATTTGTACTGGGAAGCTATTGAAACGCATCGTCGAATGGTAATCCAATTTGGATCGAGTATGTTGCCTTCGTCTAGAAGGAATATAAAAGATTAATTCAAATTCATAAGGTATATATTTTTGTGTGTCAGTGGTCTCATCTTTTAGTATGCTATGATAATTTTATAGATTTACCACAGCGCTGTATGCTGTGAAAACCCTACCAAATGTTCATTCTTAATTACTACCGGTCTTAATTACTAATTCTGTACCAATTGTATACAATTGCTTTATAATGTACAAGTGCAATAAATCTGCTTAGAATTCTTAAGAGTTCATATACATGTATAAAGCGACTTGCGAATTTGGGAATTTTTACTCAAAAATATCAATCATTTCCAGACTTGTTACTTTTCCTTAGGATTAGTCCAAAGGAGTAAGCTTGGCACCAACATGCACTATTCATCTATATACATCTAATTTAGTACAGTTTACTTATTGTTAGTATTTTATATCCAAGGGCTATGGTTTTATTTGCAATTTGAATCTTAAATCTCAATTTCCCCACCTTGTGTTTTTCTGGCTTGGATGAGATTTTTTGTTTTGCATGACGTGCACACCCACCTAGAACATGTATTCCCTGGATTTGTTGACCTTTATGATTCATATCATTCATCTCCTCATTAAAAACGCATTCCGTTGGAGCTTACATTGAAGCAACCACTTTGGGCTAGAAAGGATTACATGCAGTAAATGTCAATTGCAGCTTGGCAAAAAGTAGGTAAGATAAAAGAATAATAAGCAAATATGCCCTCCTTGAAAGCGATAGGGAAGGATTATGGTAACAACATGAATTTAAAACATATTCATGGGTAACAAATGCATATTTAATGTAGCCTTAATGTAGCAACAATACGGCCCTAATGAACTCGAGCCCCTTCACTTCACGCAGATTTTTACACAATTAAAACAAAGCAAAGTTTAACAAATTCCAGCTGCTGCTACCCTTCCTGCTTTCACATTCTTCGTCTTCTTGTCACTTTTGATTCTACGACGAATTTATTTCATCATTTCACACCGTCGTCGTCATCGTGTCATCCTCACTTCGTCACACCCCCTTCCACTCACTTATTCCTCTTGCCTTTTCAAATGGCAGCCGTGAAATGATATTCAAATTCAATAATTGAATAAGAAGGAAGGATTGCATATGATCTTGGCTTTAATAAACTCTTAGATTAGATAATGCATTCAAACTAAAAGTTGAAAACTAGAAACAATACAAGTCGTCCGTCCTCTAGCTTTGAAAGAAATTGCAGAAATGCCATGAATTATATAACGCATAGCAATAATTTCAAATCACGTCACAATTTTCATCCGAAATGCAGTTATAAATACAACATCGTTTTCACCTTCCAACTTGTACGAGTGAGCTTCTTTTGTGAGCAGTTGGACTAAAATTGAAGAAAAGCAATAGGGTATTCTTGGATTTGTTCATGGAGTTGAATAAATCCTGTGACTAAATTGAATGCTTCGTCACCCAGACCAAGCGAGAGGCTGAATTTTGGAAATTTATAATGAGGTCCAATATACGGGTAACACACCTGTAGACCAGGTGGTTGTCTCGACGTATGCAATGCATATAATACAATTTATAACGGTCGCACTCACTGCCTTCTGTCCCTATGTGCACCTTCGTCTATTCGTACCGTACCACGTAGATATTTCTCCAAAGAAGAATCCTACGAGAAGTCCCAAGTCTGAATTGGCTAAACTACGAACTGAACGAATTTCCTTGTCAAACGGACGGTCGAGAGCCGATCTTATTATGAGAACATGGTCTACATAATTCGAAAAGGTAGGTAGATCCTTCCTTCCCTTTTCCCTTTTCATCCCTTCTTTGGCATTTAAAGTTTAAAAGGAAAGTTTCTTCCGATTTGGTGGAAGAAGAAGGGACGCGAATGACGATGTTTTTGGTTTCCATCATCCAAACTCGGACAAAAAAGAACACGCGACAAAAAACGTCTGTCTCTGCAAACCTGAATTGTCAAGGGTGCACCCAACAGTCAAGGTATTCCGGTGCGAATTCACCGTTTTCTTCTTTCTAAACACAATGGACGAAATAAATGAAAATGAAAAGGATGGTGGATATATGTAGCTAGATGAGAAAGAATGAATGAATAAAGGTACTGCGAGCCATGCGAGTATTACGAACTTTCGAGTGAGGATGGTGTACGAAAAGCAGTGCATATTGCATTACAGAAATTCTATTCCATGAAATTTATCTTCAATCTGAAAATCTCACCGACTATCTCACTCGCTCACAACACATGATGCTTTTTACAGATTTAGGATGGCTGGTTAGTACACAAATTTTCTGAAAAAGTACCCGAAGGCGACAACATCGAGAAAAGGCTTAAAATTGTAACGTTTCTGGAATTTTTGGGTAATAAGCAATTCTTATTAGGGAACAACTATCAGAATACTGTAAAAATGGTTTCACATTAATTTTAACCAAATTCTCGACTTTTCTTTGGCACATCGTATAAAATTAGACTCCATTCTTCTTCAGTTCTCATTTCCCCTCGCATCGCACCCTTCACGAGTTTACAGATAGGCTGGTGTTCATCTCCTGATCCGTTTCACAAGCAGCACCTTTGCTCCAATTCACAATGAGCGAACATGATCCAAAATCTTCACACGCATCTTTTTTTGTTTGCTATTATTTTTTCTATGATAGAATGGACAACAACCCTCCGAATTTTCAAGTTCGAGCTCATCTTTCTCTAAATAAAAATATAAGATATCGTATGGAAACTGTAAAACTCCATGATGCGTATTTGTATGTCTAGAATTGCAATGATACCGAAAGAAAAGCAACTGTCAATCATAAGTTCGATATAATATATATCTGTACAATTCGTTCAACATATTTACACAGTCTTTACCTTCGAATTCGAAACCCAATTTTGTATTTCGACTTTATTCTAGTTCAAATTTTCTCACGTAATCTCAACAACAAATATACACATATTTAGCTTTTGTTTGCTCATCTCATTAAGTATGCTTAGATATATATTTAATGTTCTTACAGTGATGTTTAGAAAACTTTGTGTGACAATACCGAAATATCTAGCACACTTAAATTTGACCACGCGCGTACATTTTTATAACAGCAATTTTATGATTGCCGTAATAGAGAGAATTTATTCTCATCTGATTTTTCTACTGCACACCTGAACAGCATTAACCGTCACCTTTCATTTCGTGTGACAAATATCAAACTTTTGTGGTGGCTATAATTGGTTTTGTTTGGTTTGCGGGTGGACACTACTGGTTCCATGGGACTCATTATGAGTGGGTGTTTGGTTGACCATCCTCTTCCGGTGAAATAAATTTGTCCACAGACCGACTGTAATAATAGCAATATCTGTATTTTTTATTTAAAAAATTTGGATAAGGGTGCTTTCAACTACATATGCATGGCAAATATATATAGAATTAGTCAGCCGGACCTCAACCCCCTGGAGTATGACATATTGTGTAAGTTTGGGGTAGACGCATGATAAAAGTTTAAATTGTCTGAAAAAATTTCTCGCAAAGAAATTGGATGCGAAATCACTGGAACTACAAGCAACCAGTTCACTCTCAAATCGAGGGCTTTCATGGCCGCTAGTGGAGATCATTCCGAAAACTGATCAGCATGGTTTGAATTTAATGGGCTTTCCCGTGATATAATTATTTTTAGCATTCAATAAACTGCTCCAGCAGTTTTAACTTGATTCACTACTTATACCCGTACCGTGTAAAGTAAATAAAAAATCCATGCATCCTGCATCCACAAACAATAAGCTGAAAATTAGACGTAAAATGCCTACATAAGTTTATACATATACCCGATAACCGATTTAGCCACTATTCAAGATGATGGGAAATTCGGAAGGAAGGAAACAGATGATTTGACAGGAAAAGGGGATTTAAATTGAAAAGAGAAAACACATAGAATTGACAATGATTATTGAAAGTGAGTTATGTACCCTGTTGCGTCTGTGTGTATCTGCTTGTGCACTCTTGTGATACCATTTATTTCAATCTGAATGGGCAGTGACAAAGGGAGATTTAAAGTTGGGAGTAAATTGTAGCACAGGGGTTCTTCGGATTTTAAAGAAACCAAGCAGCTCAACTAAGCCAACGGTAACTTTTACTTCGTAGCATCTGCCATAAGAGAAGGTTAAGGTTATGGTCCTCAGAGGAAGGAAGGAAGGAAAAGTTTGTAAAGATTTAAAAGGACGCCTCAGTCAGAATTAGTCTGTTTTTAAACTTGTTGTCCATTTCATTTAAAACCGAGATGAGGTCGTGATTTAAAGAAACACGAACACACAAATAATGCGTCCTTCCCGAAGGGACCAACTTTCGAATCGCATTTCATTAAATCTCTTAGGTCCGTCTGCTTGGTAGTGTACGTACGGTATGGAATACGTTCGTGCGTACATATATGTGCACAAATGTACGTATACGCAATAACATAGCACCAACCGAAGCTCCCTGAATTGCATTGACTCGCACGTCATGATCACCGTCACATCACATCAAAGGTGTCCCTTCCTTCTTTTGCTGGTTTGCAGCAGTTCAATTAAGTATTCCAGTCCAAGTACGTGGTGGCAAGAAAAAGGTGGGTATATGGCTTTCTGGAGGAGATGAGGAGAATGGTAGTTTAGTGTTTATGTGCCATGCAATGCTTATTGTTACTCCATTTTTACCATGCTCAAGGGTACCCATTGAGCTGCATGGAGGACTTTTCTGTATGTTATAATGATATGCGTCCGATCTTGAGTCTCATACATGGCGTTGAGAATGAGAACCAATTCAGAACGAGATCTGGAGCAAGTAACAGCGAGCCTTGCTGTTAAAAGGCTCCCCGGCGTTTCTTTTTACTTCGATTACTTTCATCAGCTTTGTTTGAGTGAATTGTGATCCTACGGGGCAGAGTTTAACGAGCCGAAGAAGCCAAAAGATATATATTAAAAGAGAGTGCAAGGGCTTCCCATCAAGCAACAAACTAATAATAATCACTTCATATGCATAGGAAGCAGGAAGCAGTTTAGTGACAACAATCACCAAATGACCAACTTTATTACATAACGACAACCATTTCATACTCGTTTTTACAATATTTTACTATCGTCAACAATCTGTGCAAGTGTCAGAGAAGAACCAGTGCGATTGCCAGTTGACTAGCACATAAAATTGCTATTGTGTCATTGTTGCCGAGCCATTACCGATTTTATCTCCTCCGTGACAGGTTGTTTCAGTCATTGATACACAATTTTACTACATGCGTGTATTGACTTTTGTCGGTAGTGTACTCACCTCATGGTTTTTTTGAAACATTTTATCACTGCATGAGAAGCAAGTCTCGCTGCACATTTGCTTCCCCAGTGATTGTTGCCCGAGTGGTTCAGTGGATAATGTTAATTCATCGGTTCTCTGATTGTGATTCGGAACCTATTGTGTGACCAATTAATAATAGTTATATTTTACGGTGGGTTCTTGTTCTTCACGGATGATTGTGCAGTATTGCAGCAGCGTCCGCATCGTACAAGAATAGTGCAAGTGCGGTCCGATCCTAATCGACCTGCTTTTACATATATGGGAAAGGAAACGGAGGTCAATCAGAATAATAAATGTTGTAAAACAATCTCCCTCCACACATGAACGTATCAAATCAGGCCAATCCAGGTGTGCAACAAGACTCCCAATATACCGACGCAAAACTGTAACACCGGGCCGGGAGCGACGGACGGACGGTGGTGAATGTGATAGAAATCGAAGAGGTGGGCAGTTGTGGCGTGGGTTGCAATAATTTTCATATTATGATGTCTCTCTGTTTCACCCCACATAAAAAATGTGTGCTCAGAGTCGTTCTTGATTTGATTGTTGGGGCTAATCGCTTCCACTCCAACAACACTAATCACGGATATTAACTTGTTGGGAGTTTTATTGAACTTGATCACGAAACGGATCATTAGCCAAGTGGACAGACTGAAGATCTGCTGAGAAGGCTTTGATTTACTGCCATCAAGAAGTGAGCATTTACAGGCATGGAAATTTTAAGATTAAATTTTGATCCGAATCTTATCCACCCTACTAAATATCTAGATATCTATGTACGTACGAGACATAAGGGCGGATAAGATTCAATGTGTATGAAGGCGAATACACGTCGTGCATTTTGCATGCATATTATTATTATTTATTTACCTTGGCCAACCGTTGATGTTGATTCGCTATGATAACACCAATTCCAAGTTTGGTAGGAAAATTAGGTAACTGGAGATGAGTAATGCTTATTACCAAAACCTAACTAGAATATATTACAATCATTTTACCTTTGAAATTCATATTTGATTTACAAGTAGTTGTACAGAAAAATGATTTTTATTCTTCATTTATCCGTGTTCGTAACTCCTTACTTTAAACATGCTCATAACGCCGATGTAATAAAATATTGGCCTGACGGCTTTTACGAATTAAAATTGTAACCCAACTAAGGAGTGGTTCATTTCATTTCAGGAATTGAAACAATACGAATGAATATAATAAATTTCCTCCTTACAACTCAACGAATCGCCTTCCGTAGTCAGCCACACGTCCATCACAAAACTTTTAATACAACGAGTGTCGAGGTTTACGCCTTTAAATGATAAAAGGTAAAAGATCTAATTTTATCTCTGTAAGTAGTCTACTCGTGTTTAGTTGTGTACAGTTGATTCATTCTCATCCAAGTATTTCAATCTTTACCATTTTAAATTCCATACAAGTTTTGTGAATTCAGTTTGCTGAGTGAGCAATCAGTTCAAAAATATCTAGTATTCATGTATATAGTTTGAAGATATTGAATTGAAATTCCAGCATTTTCTTCCACGGGAAGTACAAAAGAAGAAAGAAACTCAATGTTGAATTTAAATTGTGAATTGCAATAAATCTCCACCCAATCTTCCCATAATAGCCGAGACATGAATAACCTTCTCTGATGATATTTTACAGTGCATTTTACATTGCAGTTACATGATCATACACATGCATAACGAGTGTGTTTATATGCGTATGAAAGGAAAAGATGTAAAGAAGGAAGCCGAGACGATGAGAGATAGCTGAGAAGAACAAGAAGAAGGAGATTCAGGGATGGACGGAGGATGAGCGTGCAAGTGCATGTCCAGAAACTTATTAATATTTAAAAGCTAAAAATAATAATCATGAAAAGTTATGAACTGGACTCGGGTATAATAAAATGCATCATCAGGGGCATGGCAGCAGTGAGTCACCACAACTGCATTACAAAACGTTAATGATGAAGGGTTCATGTTTATTAGAGTTACGCGTCTAATTCCAAAATTCTAATTCAAACTCAAGGCCCTCCGTTCTCCTGGGCATTAAGTGCGTGTGCAGTGGGCTCGTTGATTCATAAAGTGTATTTGTTGTTGCATAATATTTTTCCATCTCTCTCTTTTACCACGATGCAGGCGCAAGTCGTGATAAGCAAGGGCGAGTTTCAACGTCTTTCGGATAGTTTTATTTATAAGCCGGTCTTTCCTTAATAGATGGGAATAAAAAATCAAAACCTCCTCATCTAAGCAAATGATGCCCAAAGGCATGGAAATTCCTGGCATGTTACTTCATAAAGAGAGAGAAAAGGAAAGAACGATAAGTAAATTGGTTGGTTAGTTAGTTTGGCCCTTCATCTCTCGCATAGCAGACGGACCTCACGCATTTCATCTCTCTTTTTAGGACTTCATCTCTGTCCAAGATAAGGCTCCGTGGAGCGTCTTGTTCTTGTGTAGTCATAATGTAAAAAATCAACATGAAGACGTGTAAGGGATCGGAGGAGAGATATCTTCTTGTGGGATTCTATTACCTGGTTGAATTTAGACGGAAAAAAGGCACACCTTACTTGTCTTATTTCTGGGCGAAACTATTACTCACTGCTTTTCTTGTCTGAGCTGGCTGGTTGAGGAAGAAATAAGTGCTCGTGTACATACATTCGTACATATGCGTCGGTAATAACGTGGCGCATAAAATACAAGGAAGGCATTACGTATGGGTGCCTTGGAAGATTTGGTTCAGGTCTCCGAGGACTCATCTCATCTTGTCTTGCATACGTATCTAGACCTCCACGGCCGTGTGTGTGTCTGCATGTGTTTCCCCTCTTGGTTTTGGTGAGATCAGCGGTAATCCTTAGTACACCTCAGTCTTCCCTCTACCTGTCCGAAAGCCATAAAATGGACTATGTTATCCTCTGTTGTGACTTTGGCTCCATTAGATTCAATATTACATCACTTACTCCCAGAGTTACATGAATAACATATCCATAAATACTGACAGGGCTGGATGCATATGAAAAGAAACTCATGAAAGAATTCAGTTTCCCATACATACTTCGATCCCTTGACGCTGACTCTCTCTCTTCAAACACGTTTTACTATATTTACTACTATCTGTCGTCCTTAGGAATCCAATCTCCTATTTCTACTTGTTTGTACATAGTTGGAGTGGGAGAGCTGGAGGTGGTTTGTATGAGCTCAGGTGAGTTTTACTTAGAAAACCGTGTGGGGAGAGATGGGAATGTTAAACAAAATTAGATGCCTTCTTTTTCTTTCTTTTTTACACATGTATACAAACTCATCCTATCACTTGGCTATCCCATTCCTGCTCAAGAAAGCTAACCAAGGTAGCATTACCTCACTTCACTCATTGCGTTTCACTGGGTAGTTGTACTTGTATGTAGGTGGTACATTACACGTAAGTAGTAAAGAAGTGGGGGGTGACTTGCTCCTCGCAATATCTTTTACCATGCAACAACAAACTAGAGTCAGTCAGTCAGTCGAACTTACTCGGACTGTTAAATTATAAACTTTGTCTTCTTTCTTCTTCACCATTGCTTCGCATCATCTCTCGGAGCAGCATTCATTATCATGATGCATGCAACTCCGTCCAAACTTCCTCTTCCGTCGTTAATTCGGACTTGTGCTCATCAAACCGACTTCCCCACTACCGGCCCAATTCATTTTACTACTCGCTCAGTGGCAAATTAAGTGGGATATTTTGTGAGGCTCAACTTTTGTTAACAAGCACAATGAGGAATCCAAAGTGTGTTTCCGAGTCATTCATTCTCGTGGCCAGAATTAAGTTGTTGTCTTTGGATGGATGAGGAATATAGACAAGCATGCAGTGTTGATCCCATTGTCAGTTCCGTCTCATTATGTGGTCTAACCCAATCATCCTCCTGCCTGCCACCTCAATTTCTGAGACGAAAGTGTACGTAGGGAATTATTAATAAGTGTCCCTACTTTTTTTACGTACAGTGACAGTGCAAAGTGGTGGTTATTGTACAATAATATTTGTATTGTCAACTGAGTGTCATTTCTTTCCCATTGTTGTTGTTGTTTTGCATACTGAACGTCGGGCAAAAATTATTTATTTCATGGATCGCTGATCGTTATGATCTTGAAAGGTAATTAAAAGAGCTCACTAACTTTTTCTTACGTTGGTCACCCGCAGAATGTTATATTGTCCTTAATGGTGTGTAACAGTCATGCATTATTTAACTGCATATGTACGGACATAGTTCATCCATAACCACCCGTAACCAAATTTCAATGCATATGCATGTGCTTGTCGAGTCCTTTGACCGTTTCGCATTATTTTCACATTATGTTTGTTTGTAAATTGTGTTGCTGAAGTGTGTCTGCCTTTGTTTATCTGGTTTCTGGATCGCGTAGGTGTAATAATTAATCGATCTGGAATGCGTATCACACATACACATCGGCAATAACCATGCCATAAAACGACATGCTGCGCCGCGTCATAACCTCACGACTCTGTTGTCTGTTGTATTTATTCAGTATGCATGTATCATTTTTTAGAGTTGCATTGCAAGACAACAGATGTGAACTTATTAGAATGGGAGATAAGAAAGAGCTGATAAGTTGACCTGTTATGAGACGTATTAAAAGCTAGTAGAGGAAAGTATACGGCGATATTCGTGAAAAAGTAGTAGTCGTGTGCCATGATCGTATCGCATCTCCAGTCCCCATGCATACGTATGTACCGTTCTCTTTCCATAATCAAATAAAAGTTGCAACTTAAGTCCAGTTCTGCTACATATGCACATAGTTCAACGAATGCATGACATGTGTTGGCTACAATTTTCGTTATACTTTATACTATCGTGCGTCGTCGTCGTCCTCCCTCCTCAGACATCCGCATGCAATTAACTTCACTCATCAGAGGAAAGTCAGGAGTTAAATGGTCTGGATCAGTCCAGTGAATGACTTTAGAAACACATTGGTTCTGTCAGTCACCCGTTGGAATTGGGAAGAATTGTCGGAAAGTTGGTAATGACATGTTACGTGTTACGCAATGGGTGCTCGAGCAAGTTGTTTCCCTTTGTCCGGCTTGATGTGTTGTGTGTTGATTCATTCCTTTATTAGTATTGCTGCCTCAACCAATTCTTCCATTCTGACTCGGCTGCTCAGATGTCATGTAATCAGTCATGAGTAATGATGTATTTACGCATGTTGTATGCATTTCAAATTCTTTCGACGTTTTGATTCCTATTTTCTTTCATGCAGAGGGATTTTTGATGTTTAATTTCCAATAAATTATTGAACCGTGTGTACTCTTTCATTCCACCACCTAAAGCTACGAATGTATGTACATACATATGCCGTAGCACTACATATGCACATACGATGAGCGTCTAGTCTAAAATTTATGCTCTTTGGAATTTTTGCTTCAAGCACTTTAAAACTCATAAATGAAGTCAGGCTGAGATTACTGGAGTGGATGAAATGTTTGGTGGAATAAGTGTACATGGAATCTTTCACTGAAAGGAACCGACCGTTGGAAAATAAAAATAAGTCGCTGGAGGGGCAATCCGAAAAATTTCTGGTGCTGCTGCTGCTACTGATGCCAAGCAGGAATTGCAGGGAAATTGGCCGCCTGGAAGCGATTAGGATTTTGATAATGCATTATGAAGAAATTATTATTGTATCAATCCTCTCGACACGCAAAGGCAATCAACAATTTCAGTATAAATCGTATCATATGGAGCACTCTGCGTACGCAGCCTGCCAGCATGTCACCATTATTTCATTGTTTGGTGGGGATTTAGGAATCGGAAATTTTACAGAGGCTGAACATTTTGTTCAAAGCACTTTTATTCAATTTTTAACGAATTTGCATCCTACATTGTAAACTATAAACTTCAAAACGGCGTATACATACTACTTCGGATTAGTAAATGGATTTGTATGTTCATATGCTGCTGCTAGAAAAGGCTGATGGTTGCTGATTGTTGATGGTTCATGTGCGTGTCATTTGGCCCAAATAGGAAATACAGCCTCATAAAGCAGGGAGAACGAGTTGGATGTCATACTGGGTGAAAGTGATGGGGTTGGATCGGATAATTTATTTTAATTTAGAAGCACCACTTGACACACGAATTATCTTTTTGCAGCATTGCATGACACTCAGTATGGCACAAGTTCAAGTGTACTAGCCCCATACACAATAGTTAATAACTCGGAGGACAGGATTTTCCGTTGTTTTATTTTATGGACCATGTCCATTCGAAGCAAAACTATAAAACTCCTTATTGCGATTGTTGCGACCGTTACAAATTTGAGCAGTAATTGAAGTGGAGAAATATCGATCCTTGATGGCAACAAATGTGGTTGGTTCAACATTTTCAAGCAAAGGTGTGCAAAGCAAAGCGTAGCATAGGTTCAAAATAAATATATTACATAATAACGCCGAAAAAGTGACCCTCGAGTGATTTCCTCGTATACACATGTCGGCTGGAGTACCGGATTTGTGTGAACCTGTTTCTGAGCTAAATAGCCATGCAAAGAGTGTGTAACCTTCATTTCAAGTCTCAGTTGCCTTGCCTTGGGTCATTTTTTAGTGGTCAGCTAGTGTTTTTTTCTATTCCACAAATCCAGCCAACGATACATACTACAACCCAACAACAACAAACCTTTTGTACGTGTTACGGGGCTGTATGATTTAGGGGAGTAGGAACCACCTAGTATCTGTAATTGTCGGACATAATTTTTAATGGCTGATCAACTGTTTGTATAAGAAGTAGAGTGGCAGTGATTCACTTCCGTCTCAATTGCCGTTGTAGCTTTACATTTTTAGTAAAAAAACTATAATTTATAACCACGGGATTGTATATAAAAATAATGTAGTAATTTCTACTGTTGCATGATTTACTAAAACTACCCATCTTCCCATAACGAAAATCTGTGGGGGTAAGTAGCTAATCATCGTCATATCGCGGTAATAATTATCTTATACAGGGATTAGTTGTCTTTAATTGTAATCGTTAAAATGTTTATCATGGAGCTAAATAATCCTGCATTTTTGGTGTGCACGACTATTGTCTCCGTGGTCAAACCACCCATGGTTGTCACTGCAGGTGGTGAAAGTGAACCCAAAGTCGTCTCAACTTTCCCGTTTCAAGTGCGTGATAATCTTTGTTGGGATACCTGATCACGTACAAGTCTTATCTTTGAAAGCATCAAATCTCGCTGTCTCGATGAGAATAGTTGGAATACCATTTGGTGGTCAACATCCCACTTGTTCCTTTCTCAACAAGACCCAATGATGATTATTACGTTGTAATTGTGACTAGGTATTTCTCAAGTAGGCAGAAAGGTGGGTACGTGGGCATACATACATATGTAACAGTAGGTCGCTTTGTAGGCATTATTTTTCTTACGGCGCTGGAGGAATTCTTCTTTGTAATTAATTATGTTCAAAGGCCTTCGATAGAAACAATGACGGGGTAATCGGAATCCATTCTCACGAAGATCGTGCCAGCCGACGCTTGAAATAAATCCCTGCTCACTCACTTGCTCACGTAATTTTAGTTAAAGTAGAACGAACGGATTCTTTCCTTCCAACTACATTTGTATCTCCAGAAATAGACCCGCATGGGTTAAATTGCAGTCAACATTTTTAGGATTGATTAATGATTGAATTATTTTTAAATTCTGGTTTGATTTGCGAGCTAAAAACGCAAAAATTTTATATTTTATGGCCGATAATGCAAAGGCGTGAAATTGATCTCCAGTACTTCGAATGGAGCAATAGAAATAGTCAAGGGTTGAGGAGATCTAAAAAGTTTAAGGCTTTATTGCAGCTTTTTTTCAAAGTACTCCAACTTGTTACCCCATTTATAGCCCTCCTACCTGCACGCTTCGTCAAAACATGGTTGGTATGCATGAGTGAGTGAGCATTGATGGTGTTTAATCTGCCTACTAGAAAAAATTTATTATTCTATCAACTTGGGTTCCAAGTGAAGAAATAAATAATGATTAACAGCCAATTTCATTAGAGCTTACCCATTAATTTATTTTCGATTTACTTCCAGGGATGCTGAAATGGGCTGTTGGAAAGGATGACCCTATCAACCCAACAAAGTCGTCTGCTTGTAAGCAACTTGATATGCAAAGAGACGCTGCTGGGTTGATTAGTGGCTGCTGCAAACACCGCAATAATCTTCAAGGACCGTCTCGAATCCTCAACAAAAACCGTGTTCGTGCTGTCGGCGTCATCAATAACAACAATCTTCTCAATAATGAGTTCCACAATGGTAAAGTTAATGCCCATAATTACAAAGCCCCCGACGACGACCCAAGGAACCAACGTCTCAAAGTCTCATCCAACGCTACCACCATCACCACTCCTGCTGCTGCATCTCCCTTGCACCACAACAACGATAACAATAACAGTATTATCAATTCAGACAGCAAATCTCTTCTTTACATGAGTAAGTACAATTGTATTTTATTTAAAATCATAATCATACAGTATGCATGCGTACAAAAAAACATGTTTTAGTACTCAAATTAGTACTCAAAAATGTGTATGTGTATGGTTTCAGGCCTGGACCATTTGCCTATGGCAATAGTGAAGCAATATGAGAGAATGCTTCAAGACAACAAACAACCACCACCAAAATCGGTGTTAAAGTCTCAACATGTCACTAATTGCAGCATCAACCATCAACATCGACCTCCAAATGCCAAGACAAAAAAGCAAAAACAAGTCTCACCGCCCCACAAAAAGCCATATTCCAAGTCAATTACATTCAAAGACGATGTAAATGAAAGCAAACCAAACAATAAACATGAAACACAAGAAGTGGTCAATACCACAAGCCTTCGAAGACCTAGTTCCGTCCCTGTTTTAAATTTAAAAGGTACTGAAATTCGAATTAAAGAAGCTCAACACCGTCCCTTGAAAGTTCTGTCTGCCTCGATATCACCCCTAAAGCCACAACCAACAAGTGGTTTGGATACCGTCCTGGTAAAGACCAAATCCAACTTGACCAATAAACCAATAAATAAAAAGTTTCCCTCTCAACATATTGGCATCGAAGCCACCGTTAAGAGAAAGACAGATTGTCCAGAAAAATACGAAAAATCTCCAAAACTCCAAGCTAAAAAGTCCACCCTAGTCTGTGATAAAATATCCCGACCACCTCGGTCATCAGTAGTATTTAGCAGCAGCAGTAGCAGCAGTAGCAGTGGGGATAGTACTGTTCCAAATGAGGGGAACCTTGCAGACCCCAAACTTAAACCCAATATTCATGATGGAAAATTACAAACAAATGCAAAAAAGATGGACCCAATCCCGGAAAATGATGAAAATAATCCCAACTACATTCCAAAGGTGCCTAAAAAGACTAGTAGAAATGGTCATAATTTCAAAGTTACCAACAGCCCACACATTGCACATGATAAGGAAGTATCGTCGGCAAGTGGTGACGCCATAATAACTGCAACTGGGGCACAAATGCCAAACCTCAATGATACTACTGACCCTCTATTTCTGGAACCCAAGAGCATAACCTACAGCACTCCACCTGTGCCCAAATGTGCAAAAAAACTCACTCTAAAACGGAGTGAGTTGAAGAAACTGGAACGATTGAAAACTCAGACAGGTAAGTATGTACATGTTTATACGTAGAATGCACTGTGCATATGTGTATGTATGAGTATAATGCTTAAGTACTCTGCGAATACAATTAATAAACTGTACGAGCGTTGGTTAATCGTAACGCACCTTCCACATGTTGCACAAACAACAGTACTACAAGTCAATATATTTTGTAAGTACATTGTGCTTAACCAAATTCTTATGTATTTTAGAACGACTAAACCGGTTCCTTAAAAAATACTACCACGATTGTCTTCCCAACCTGCCTGAGGAGGAAGAGGACTCGTGCAGTCCAGAAGAAAAGTCTGTCCGTCTCTCGATCCTTCGAACGCATTGGAGAGAAGTCAAATCAACAAGTTATGGAGACCAATTCCTCCTAGATGACGTCGACGAAGTAGTAAATGACAACAACAATATTCTCCACTCTTCGTATGAAAATGTTGCTAAAAGTTATCAGCGTAACAGATTTGCTTTCTCTAACCCAAAAATTTGCAACAAGTTTAGCCCGCTTCACAGTTCGTCCTTTTCGTCCTACACCACATTACCAGAACTCTCGGTGGATGACTATTCTGTAACTTGGGAGAATCTTCTAAACACTGCTGCATCTCCTCTAATTTCTTCCTACCCCACAACAACTGAGAGCAGTAGTCATCCTCCTCCTGGTGTACTGCCAATCATCGAGGAAGACTATTCTGCAGAAGTCTCATCCTCCTTCAACTCTGAAGAATGCCATCACCAGGATCAAGATAAAGAGCTTGTGAGAGATGTAGCCTGTTCGGAAAGGTTGTTGGGTTTGGATGAAAGTTTTCTCCAAAACTCCAGAACGAGAATTGAGACGGACGATTCCCTCATCCAACTGGCCAAGGAAAGCTGTCTCTCGGAAGAGCATCATCATCATCATCATTCCCAGCACAACCACCATGACAGAATGAGTGATAATTTTAATACGGGTGTGAAGATCTCATATGATGACGGGAAAGAAGATGAAGGAGGAGGAGGTGGTAGTGCTGGTGGTGAAGGGGAGGATGGGTTCGGCTCGAAGAAATTAAAGGGCCTGCTGCTCCAGCCCTTAGGGTTAGTCTTTGATCCGCCGGCGTCTTTAGAAGATGAAGGATTTATGGGTATGAGTCCTTACCCACCTGAAGCTTATTCTCCTGCATCCTCCTCTTCCGCGTCCACCTTTTATCGTTTCTCCCTCTCATCGTCATCGGGTAAAGGATCAACTCGTGAAGACGGAGAAGAGCACGAGAGCGAAGAAAACTACTTTGGAGATGATTATGATAAAGAGCAATCAAATCTCGGTCGCACCTCCAGCCAAAGTTCTTCTGCTTCGTCTTGTGGTACCGACGCAGAAATCGCATCCATGGAAGGAGGAGGTCCAAAATATATCATGCGAGAATTGAAACACGAGAATGCTAATTATCTTCATCCAGTCAAGCGGCCGAGTGTGTTGGTGATGGAGAGTTGTGGTGATCATAATGAAACGTGGAATTCTCACGGCTATGTGTCCAACTCTCCATGTGGTACCACCATCTCTTCCTCTTCTGCTCATTCTTCTCATTCCCATCACTCGGACACAACAGCGAGCAACTCATCTCATTCTCCAAGTCCGACTGGAGAAGTTGACGCACAAGTTGAACACGATGAAGATGCAGATGAAACCCTAAACTTTAATTCGATGAGAAATCAGCGTGAAAATGATCGCGGTGAAGAAAGCGTAATTTCCAACAGATTAGCTTTGCCTTTCAGCACACCCGTCTTCCGAAGCAAATGCCTCCCACAGACCCGTCTCCTCAGGTTCAAGTCCAAAAAGTGGATGCCTCGGAAAGTTGTGAGAAAACCACCTGTGAACTCGCCCTACTCCGGCAAAGGTATGCACGTACATAATTATTTTATTAATGCTTTAACTCATGCTCCTAATGCCATTCAATTTATAAGTTTTAATTTGATGCTGGATGATTTGATTGTGAAGAGTGGGCAACCCTTTCAGTCAGTCATAAGTTCTAATCAAAATTGTGACATTTGATGACTTTCTTTCATTTACAGAATTAAATTTTGTCCACTGGCCTTTATAAAATGACAATATGGCTTTATGTGCGTATCTTAAGTATCGCAATCATAGATGGTCCAGGTGCTCAGTCTTAACTTTTTGTTGCAGTTGTCTCAACTCTTTGTACAATTTTTTAAGTCTCGATATTGAAATTCAGTTAAAGATTCCATTTCATAAAAACACTTCATGAGTATAATGTAAAGAAATACCACTATAACGGCCAACTTTGAAAAATAAGACCTACAAAATATTTTATAGATAAATATTGATTTTACGACATGACAATTATTTCAGTTTCACAATGCCCTATATGTACGAGTAGTATTCGGAGTTAGTAAGACATATATTATTAGTAGATGACTATGCAAATAACTTCAGCAGAAACATTTTACTTGGTTGCGAGAACAAACAGTCATTTTCACTGCAACTTACTCATAGTTTTTGAAAACTAACCTCTTAACGACTTATTCCACTATTTACGATGTTTGCTTTCATGGTTTGCATTTTTTCATGAATTAGCTTCATGCACATCAACACATCATCTATCTCACGTCTCTCTGCTTGCTGTAGCACTTAACGGTGGGTTTCTTGGGACAAAAAATCCATTAACCTAACAATCTGAATATTTTATTAACTAAATAAACTTTTCCCTCTATTCTTATTATGTTGTATCTTGCCTCATGTCAGATTAGTTTTGAACAATGTGTATAAACATGCATCAAGCAGGCTTGTTCCGAAAACTACAATTCCCCATTGTTTGCCTTGATGCTCTGCATTCCAAGATATGTACACGTACTTAAAATGTAGATATAGCACGATGACAATGCAATGCCATTACTAATCTACATAGCGCTATTCAATCGATATGCACGTAGATAGTTGTACGCACATACGTATTTCGATATGTACGAGTACGCTAACCGTTGCCAATATATTTTGAAGTTACCTATTTAAGTACTTTAACAATTGATTTCGAAAACGTGTGCATGAATGTGAGCTAATTTAAATGTTTCACACTTTGCTTTGCAGGTGAACTTTTGATTCGGACGTACAAAAATGATGGAGACTACGTTACTGTTCATGGTGAGTGCTCTTAATTTCGTCTAATCTGTCTTAATCCATCTCACTTTTAGGGCCACGCTACATAAAGATGTTTCTACGTATATCCTAAAAATTTTACGGAATGATGCACATAATGGTGGTGGTTAGGTTGCAAATAAAAATGATATACGTGTATCCTGCCATTAGAGTGAAGATGTTGAGACGCAATGAAAAGAGAGAAGGAGTATGAATACAAAGAGGGTATTAGCAGAACAAAACCGTTTCCGGTGATTTCGTTGGTACATAAATGAGTGTTCTTATTTAAGCATAACGAGAAGGGCTGATGGCCACCTATTGTACTTCCTCCCCAATTTCACCCATGCATCTCCTCAGATTCTTCTTCGCCAAAAAATCTAAAACACTTCTGTTCTGTGTTTCAGTTGTGCAAGCAAGGAGATTGAAGACACGCAATCACTCATCGTGGAAGTTATCCGTCAAGGTAAGCATGATATTCTGGCGTAGAATATCACTAATTTTATATTTCCCAATTTTATATCTTATATTTTTTATATTTGATGTTTTTTTAGGTGTCGTGTTTACCTGAGAGTGAGACAACGTTTACAAGATCTTCAGAAACAATTCGCGTTGGAAGGAATAAATCTTGGGTCAAAATTAATAAGAAGTTCTCGTTTGAAATTCCACAAACATCCAAGTTCAGTAAAAATACCAAGGTTTACCTGACGGCTGTAAAGCGCCTGGGAAAGTAAGTACACACCCTTTTACTTACACATTTTCATGATTCTGATTACAAAGAGCGTTAGTAAATTACACTCATATCTGGCTACGATAATTAGTGAAAAGCGATACAACATATTTGCAAATATATGCATCCTAGGTCAAATTGATGCTAATATTCCTAATTCTTACCTCTCGCATTATTGAACTAAATTCACACGATGCACACTTTTCCATCGTGCCAATTACCATTGATTTGATGTGAATTAATTTCACTCGTATGTATAATGATCCTAATCGCTAGTCCGATCCTAGTTGTTGGCTGGAAACTGATAAATCCTATCGCATTTCATTGCTTTTCGGCTAATTTATTGGATACGATAGCTGAATGGTCAATGAATGCGGTGGATCCATTATGCAAACAAAAAAGGAACCTCAACCATTATTAGGGTGTCCCAACTTTGTAAAAAAAATCGCTTTTTCCGCTCACGATTTTTTCGCTCTTTTTGTAAACCGCACTGCGCATGCGATTCCGATCTTTTTTCCGCTTTTTCTGCTCAAAAATAAAATCTACTTTAAGATGATTTTTTCGCTCTTTTTACTACTTTGAGTGAAAAATCAGTCTCTCAGAGACATGTTTAAGGGGACATCGCCCGATTTTGATGCCCTATGGAATATATTGCAATATCAGGTGAGTGTATGAAAAGTGAGGGAGGATTTTATTCCATTGCCCCACCTGCGCCCGCCACACCCCCTGAAAAGCATTGCAACCACTAAAACTACCGCATTCAAACCTTTGCCAAAAATCCTATTTTCATCCCATTTTGGTAATTTTTGGATTTACATGATCTTAGATAGTTGTTTTATCATATCCAACATGAAGCAAATTTAAATTTTAAAAGAAACTCGAAAGTTTCCTGACCACCCATTCTCTGCTCCTGAGTATTCAAGCGATAAAAAATCGGGACAGTCAAGTATTGAGCGAAAAAAGCGGATTTCAGATTTTTTAGCTTTTCGCTTTTTCAGATCTTTTTTACAAACTTGGGAGACCCTATTATATAAGCATACGTAATCTGTATAGCGAGTCGAAAGGCATATCCGCATAACACGCCTAACAATCTCATGTTGGACAACTACATACCATTTGATCCGACTTTGGTCCCTTATCTAAAGAAAGTTGGGTGTGTTTCCAACCAGGATGGACCTCATAAAACATTCAGCGTCGTTAGTAGAGATTGATAGGATCCTTGGTCTACTCTCATTGTTGGATTTTAGCACGATCACGTATTCGGAAGAGAAATCAATCCCAATGTCGTTCATGCTTTATCTCGTCCATTATGTATGATGGCATACCTTGTTAGTACACAGCACAAGGTATGCAGTTAGTTAGTGCCATACATTGTTTTATTTGTAAATGGACCCACCCAACTGGAAATCATATGCATACAAACGTATGGACTTTGTACATGCAATCAATTTTCTCTAGCCTGCATTTATGCAGCCTCTAGTATCACTACTACAAGGACACGTCAAATATATTTATTCGCTGCATACACAATAAAGTGTATTGGTTCCCAGCAATTTCATTAAGCGGTTGGAGCGAACAAATTCATATTTGGCCAAGTATATCGTTTCGTAGCAGGGAAAGCACGACCCCTGGATAAGAAAGTAGCAACTTTCTCTAACTTTACTCCAATTCCTTCAACCAGAAGTCTCTGGCAACGTTGCGGAGAGAAGAGAATGTTACGAAGGGGTATCGACATAATATCTCTGTTTGTATTCCTGTGACCATCACCAAGCTGCTTGCCAGCCAGCCCCTCTTTCCCACTTACTTCCTAGTCGAATGCTGGGGGAAAGTAGCCAAACCTCCTATTTCTTCTCCACTCATTCACATCGTACAGCAGAGTAGTGCTGTTGGCTCAATTTGGGTGCTCAAGTTACATGGAGATGTACGAGTCATTGTCAACGTCAAAATAAGTCTACTGATGCCAAAACAAATTAAGCAAATTAATTACTAACAATAATGGTCAGAAAATCCGTACCCGAAGAGTGCGCATAGCATCAAGACCCGAAGAGGCAATGGGTGACCATTGTCGTGCAAAGGTGGTGTTTGATTTTCACTCTCCCATCACCACGACCGATTATGTGAATGCGTCTCTCCTTCAGAAACGAGGAGCCAAAGGTCTCTTTACTGCGTTTCCTCTTTCCCCAACTTTCCCAACTCCCGTTCTCCCTCTCTTTCTCTCCTCTGCTGCTGCTGCTATGTTATCGTGTCTACTTCATCAATAGAAATTGCAGAACTTGGTCATCTCCACTCTGCGCCTCTCTCTCGTGTATTCCCCATCCCCACTCTATTTCCACATTCTAGCCTTAGCCTCGTAGAATCATCAAGGCTCAAATAGCATCCAACGGAATCCTCTCCTTCTCTGCTCCGTGTCTACATACACACATGTTCCAGTCCAACCCTGGATATATAGTTTGTGCATAGGTACGTGTGTGCTCACTCCATTTGTTTGAACGCCAAGTGAAGAAAAAAGTAGTAGAACAAACCACGACTCGTCCTTTTCATTGAGCAGTTGAAGAAAAGTACTGCACTAAAAACGTGGTGAAAGGTGTCCGGAGTCTGTAAACGCGTGAGTATAATATTAAAAATTCTTCCACCTTTTTCCAGCCATCGCATGGTTTGTCAGGTGGTATATCGTTGTCAGGTGGCATATAATTTTGATCAGGCAATAATGTGCGATATAGGAAATAGAATAATCAATCCCCCAACAACAACTTGGCTGGGTTATAAGTAGGCGAGAGTGAGTGATGGAGAGAGGACGGCTGGAAAAAACAGATCCAGACGGGAGTGTAGCCAGGAGGTTCTTTTGAGCTCTCTCTTCGAAGGCGAGTGAGGAGAAAGCATTCGTCTTCAAGGTAGTTTAATCCAACGTCCTTTCATCAGCCTTCGTTTACAAGTCTATACTTCATCCATCTCGTAATCAGCAAGCAACCACTGCTGCTGCTGCTGCTTCTCGTAGAACGATACACACTCACCTCTCTCCTGCAAATAGTTCCAAATACTACGTGAACAGATACATACATCAACATTGTACAAGAATAAAGAAGACTTTTCCAGTGCGTGGGTTCGTCTCTTCACAGTTTGCCTAATATTAGGTTAATATGGCATGTACATATGGTTTAACATGGAAGTACTGTTGTGGTTTACGTATACTTTGGTAACGTCATGTGCCCTGTCTTGTGAAATATTTTGTCGCATATGGAAATTGCAGTCAGATACTTGTTGTGACAGGTTTGAGTGAAAGGCATCTCTTCACTTGTACCCCGTCATGTAGGTTAGACACGGTTTATTCAGTGTGTTCTCAGTTCTTTGCAGAGAGCAAAACTCGCACTAAAAATTTAATCCCGCTGCTGTTGATGCGAGAAAGGGTAGAAGAATCTTATCTCGTTGGGATAGAAGGAGAATGAATATTTTATAATTTCTTGATTGTACTTCGTCGTCTCGTTGCGGTTTTCCAGACTCCGCCGGCCCATTTGTGGAGACAGTGGAGAGAGTAATAATAAGTGTACTCATCTATCTGCTGACATGAAACTTGTTAGATTGGTTGGCGTTCAGACGTTCCATACGAGTTTGCATATGTGAAATGTGAAAGCATTGTCTGATTTTGTAGGCAAATCTACGCCACGCCACTCAGTCGACTTTTCCTCGAATGCCAAGTTGCAGTAACAGTTAGTATGTGTGTGTAGTTGATTTGATTTGAAAATGGTGTCTTTCATGAGGTTGGGTCGTGTATTTAGGCCGTAAAGTGAAAGTCGGGACACTTCTCTTCATTATTTAGAATCTCTTTTAAAGTTTGGTATATTGTGAGCGCATCCAATTTTTCGAGAGGGCCTTTGCAACAAAATTGTGAGAGTAAAACTAATGAGTGAAAATACTAATTATTTTTTTGAGCCCATCAATGTGACTGCCAAATGCAATGGTTAGAATGTTCTGCATTAACGAATTTCTAATAGGCCTTAAGTTTCCCGAGAAAAAGATTATCACAGATCTAAAGAAATGTGTTTTCTAAAATTACATGAATATTTCAAATTGAAATCTGAGCAACGAAATTGCTGACTGACATATAATGTTATTGTAATTTTTTGCAGAAAATCAACTTTTCTCGGATGGACAACCTTGACAATTTTGAGCGAAGAGGTAAGAAAATACTCTATTTTACCTGCATTCTCAGTTGAGATTTCGGATCAAACGTCCGCCGAGATGTTGTAAATTCTAATCATTTAGTGAAAATTTTTATGTGCACCAACATCATCTTTAGTTTTTAAGCCAGTGCTTGAAGAGATATTGGGATGGGGGAAAGGCCAATTAGAATTTATCAAGGCGAGCAGTGGCGAGTGTGTGTAGAGCTTAATCGCCCCTGCGGGAGTAGTGAAGTGTGGCATGGATTTTTACGGCTCACACTTATTACGGATAGCTGACTTTGGGGGCACATATATACTTCTTATTGGTAAAGGCATTTTTGCATCATTTCTCCACATTTAGATTAGTGCCCACGAGCTCGTAACGGTCCTCAGCACTGCTTGCTGCAGTAGCCGTAGAAGTCGTATCTCATGGTTGTAAATAGTTCCAAGACAGAGGATTTCATAGTGGGCTAAGTAGTAAAAATTGGGAGCATGCAAGGGACATGGCAAACCACGCAGAAGATGTAAGTTAACCGCAACGGCATGCATGTTGGAGTATGCGTTGTTACTCTGGCCCGTATACCCGACCGTGTGCCTACACAATATGTATATGCTAAAACGGGGAAAGTGGATTTTGGATGAAAGATGGCTATTAGTTTGGTGGGACAGAGAGAAAGAGAGTGAATCACAGGGGCTGGCAAACGGGGTAGAGTTGAGACGACGACGACGGTGGAGAGATTCTCCGCTGGAGAATCCGGATTTTCATTTCGAATTCGCGTGCGTTCTTCTTATGTCCCAAGAGTCAATCGATACACATGCATTCTTGGCCCTACCCCTCTCACTCTCTCCTCAAGTCTCTCCGACCCACGGAGTTGATCCCATCCCGTCCAAGTCTCACTGCTTGGTTCTGGATACCAAAGACACGATGATTCTCCTCTTCTCCTCCTCCTGCTTGGATGGCAGCCTCGCATCATCCCTTCTTTTCTCGGCCTTCTTGGTCCTCGTCTCCGCATAACTGAGTCACATAACGCTACACTGCACTACTTTTAGGCCTATATACATACGGGAAGGGGCCATCTCGTGTATAGTGATCGTGGTGGTGGTGCTGGAGGAGAAAGTCCGCGGAGAAAACAACACATTGTGATTAATAATAGCAGCATAGCCTCTTTTTTCGCGTTGCGGCTCCTTCCTCGTTGCCTTTTTACTTCCTTCCTCTACCAAAGCGTGTGACAGACAAGTTCTACCCGAATTATAGCTCAAGTGGAAAAATTACTACCTTGTTTGTTGTTAACGATAGAATCTCGACTCAAGTTTTTGTGTCCCACTGTGCATATTATTATAAGAACAAGCCGTTGCTTAAATCATGCTGAGTATACTCAACACATGGATCAATAATGGAATTTAGTGTATTTTCGCTCAAATAAAATAATTAATGCGAGGGCCCGGTTCGCAAATAGAAGGATAGAATCGTTTAATTGCGATTTGAGTACAGGAATAGCAGTTGGATTAGTAAGTAAAGTATTCATTATGAACAAATACATACACAAGCAAATAAGTATCACAGCTCGTCATGTGCTTAAATATGTCGCTAAATGGTACAATGGTGAAAAGAGAAAGCTAGTTCTCGAACGTCATTTCTTTACACAGTATAAATAATTAGGTTGCATTTGGTTTCTGAGAAGCAGTGGACTTGTGGTGATGCTTGAAGGATTGGATTATTTTATTGTTATGATACTTGTCAAAGAGTGGATCGATATACTAAACAAATTCAATCATTTTTATTGCACAGAGGACACAGTGCTGGCTCAAGTTGCGCAAACGGAAAATGAGTACAACAACGCCGACGACTATGCAATCCTACCACTCCACTTTTACGACGAACGCCCCTAATCCTCCTTCCAAAGGTACTCGAGCGCCTGAAAACTGCAGATCAAGTAGCTCCATGGACTCTCCGTCCCCACAACCCTGTCACACCGACAACGGCAGTTCTTCCTCCAGGTGTGACTGCGAAATGGAACCCATGCAGAAATCTGGACTACAAAATTCTTCCACAATGGACAGGTAATTTTTCCACCTGATCGACTATCCAGTAACATTAATCTCGTTAACACCATCATTTACTTCTTCATTTACACCATCATCATCATGCACGATGATTAAATTATTCCATTTGAATTCTATACAAATTATTTTACTTTTTTGCAGTGGGGTGGAAGACTGTTGTGGCGAACCTCCTCCACCACCCGCACCTTCAATAGATCTGGATGACAAGAATGGTCAACGTGTCGGGGTGAGAATGATCAAGCCTGACGGAGGAGGCTATGGTAAGAAATGTTTAAGGAAAATACTGAACATGCATGATCTTAAATAGCTGAGGGGAGAAAGTTATTGGATTGTTTCCTTATAAATTGTAGGTTTCAGCGTGGTGTGGGTTTCTCCTCCAAGGCAAGTTTTTATCATCTCATAAAGAACGTAATCTTAGGAAATGCTCTGTATTAAGAGGAGCAAAGTTTCTCTCCGTGAATCTCCCTCCTTAATGAATTATGCATTCTTACGATTGTGGTTACGAGTTGGATTTAGTAAATATTTAACTGGATACTTTTTACGATCACAGAATTGAACGTTTGGAGAAGGGCAAAACGGCGGACCTTGCTGGGCTGAGGATTGGTGATTTAATTATTTCAGTGAACGGGGAAGATGTAACCTCTGTCCCAAACACCTCAATCTACACCAAAATGAAGTAAGAGCTCACCTTTTCCTCATTAAAGCACACCTCGACATTTACTTCCTAATTCCTTCCTTTGTCGTCTCGTGCAGTGTACTTACCTGTGTGCTTGCCCTTCTTCCATACACCGACTCCTTTGCCCTTTCTCAGAGAACTGTTGCGCCAGAGATATTATGTGTGCCAATTTTGATAGAAATTGTATATACTTATGTATGATGCAAATTGTTATTTGCGTAGTTTTGCTAATTGAGTGACGAATTGATGGACACTAGTAAAGTTATAATCAAGGTGCAGTACACACTAATCGGTCAAGTCATGCGATCAACCAAACAAACTTTACAAACATAGGTTCCATTTTGAATATCGCGTGGCAAGGTTTCAGTTACTCTAGCTTATTTCCATTCACGTGTGTCTTGTGTTGTGTGAAACATGGACATGTTTGAAAAGTGGAATTTTCTATCCTTACAGCTACTATCATGCAAATCCTAAGTAAACACTTGTCACGTTGTTGACAAGTTAATAACATGTCTTGAATACGCATTTCCCTAGCTCTTCCGAATTTAATATACTCTTTCAACAAGTACCTAATTCTGCTATTTATTTTATGTTCTTTCAGAACAACTGGGGAAGTATTACAGCTTGAAGTTTGGAGAACAACTCCACCAATTCAGTCCCGGAGCGCAAATCATCATTGTCAAAACCGCCATGTTCCATTACAAGAACCTATTCCACCCCCACCGCCAAAGTCGTCCTCTGTCGCCGTAGCCAACACGAGTACCGCCCGCCCAATTCCCAACATCAATGAAGGTCGACAGCATCAACAGACTCCAGCGTCTGCTACGATAACAACAACAACAACAATTGACAACAGTTTGAAACGGAACATAAATGCCAATGCAAACATTAACCAAGGCCATGTTGTATCTGCTCCTGCTGCAGCTGCCTCGACCCCCAAATCTCGAACTCAATCTTCTCAACCTCCACCTACTTCCATATTAAAGCCTCCGCCACCCGCACCACCTACGACATTGGGAAAATCTGGTGGTGAAAATACCACTAGTCAACCTCAACAATCTCAACCAGGCTCTTCGTCTTGGAGAATCCGGTTTAATATTGAGGTTGGTCAAGGAACTTACGTTTAACCTAACAGATGATTGAGTTCCATTCTATGATCAGTAGCATCTATAGCGCCGCGGTACATATGTAGTTTTTGAACCGTCTCTCATGATTCATAAATTAGTTTTACTTTTTCCATCGGGTATAATCCTGCATTCATGATCATACACACATAATCCGAGGAGGATTGGTCTCCGTTTGCTCATATTTAGTTGTCAGCAAAAGTAAGCCTACAAAATCAGCAACCTGCTGTGCATTCAGGTCAATTGGCATGACCTCGCTATTGATCCTTTGATTTTACATGCCCCATTTTACCTTTAACAAATGAGTTTATGCATTGGAAACAGTGCATGTTGGAATGAAAAATCTGCTAGTTTCCACTTTTCTCTGGGTTGCGTGAGCTTATTACACCTCATTTGGAAATGATTGATAGAGTTACAACTGCCTCACCTTTGCAACTCAGGTCCCTTCACAAATGTATGAAAATCTTTTTCTTTCAGAGTTTCTAGTTCTTTGTAGTACGATATAACTTTCTTTAACAGCACTGAACAGGTCCTAAATTAGCACCAAATGCACCACATCTAGGGCACCTAATTAGTGTCCTATTCCTTTCGCATTCATCATCTCGATGTGTCAGCATCGTTCTCACAAGTTTTCACTTTATATTTCACACCTTAAATATTTAAATGACGGCGATATGGACTCATGGGAGACACCATACCTTGAAGCAGTAAAAGAAAGGGAGGTTTATACCAAAAAAGGAATATGTGTGCATGTGTTTCGTCAAACTCCAGGTGGGTTGCATGTAATGGCCCCATTTATTTTGTTACACGTATCAATGATCATTGTTGTTCATCGTATGGATTTGCAAGGAAAAAATATTTCAATTGACACTCCCACATGAAATGTAGACCAATTTTTTTACCAGCCACGCCTAAATGCATTAACAGATCCCTTTAATTTATTGTGTGTACGGCTAAAAGCAGCAGCAGATTTATAATTCTCTTCTGTTTGGAATATTTGTATGTTTTTGCTATATTTTTTTGATTTGGGATATATTTTGCTACCGAATGAGTTTTATGAATACAATTTTATTTATTTGTGTTGTAATTATTGTCACTTGTTCATTTAAATGTACATACATTTAAAGCTGTAGCATTAGTATTAAGTTAGAAAGTTAGACAGTACAAAGTTATTATATTTTGAGAATGAACTACCTGGTTTGTTTGTATGTATGTTTATATATGTATATGCGTTGGCTTTTATATTATTTGCTTGTATTTACGAATGTAAATTTTTTATCGTCCTAAAATTTATCATTTGATGGTGCCATGTACGATTTGTTTATAATTAATTTATGTTTCGCACGCGCTAATCAAGTAAAATAAAATGCTCAATAAAATTAAGTAATTAATATTATTTTCCAGCTTGTTGTTTTAGTACAAAAGTTTTTAGTGGTTCCTGAAGATAAACTACAAAATTCTAGCAATAGCGCGTTGAATCCCTTTTTTATTTAAAAAATAACTACTGAATGAATAATTGTTCAGGATTTTTTATAAACGTGAATGCAATTGCATGACTGAAGCCAATTTTACACTTTGCAAGCAACGCGACAGTAAAATAAGTGTGGCGACGAATGGCGAGAGAAAGTTTTCCCCACTTTCTCCCGGGTCCGTGCAGATGGTGTCAACTGTCCACTGACTCCCAGAGATTTATGCATTCCCAGCTTGGTCTCACCAATCTCAGATATTGAGAAAAATGCATACTGCAATGTGAACCTAAAATATACACACATAAGCACGAATTACCATGAATATAAATAATTCTATACACTTCATTTACCTTCATTTTACACCCATCTAAATATTAACCGATTTCCATTTCTAACTGTGGGAATGTTGAAAATTTCTATTCAGCTACTGGACAACGAGGATGACTGTCTTAAGCAATTTTTCATTTGTGAACTCAAATTTTTTCGGAAAATTGTGGCCGCTTTGGATAGGTAAGCTTTACAAATTTTAATATCTCATAATTAAATATGGAATGTATGGGGAAGCATCAACAAGGACTTTCTGATGAACAAAGTGAATCTGGCGTCCAGTCCTAATTTTAGGAACTTTGTTGTGCATCATACCCATACCAGTTATCTTGTTTTTAATTATTGGATTTCTTGTAATTACTTAATTTTAATGGAATTCTAGATACTTGATTCCAGCCCAATCAAGTCGACTGCTCACGAGTCAAGAGATACATTTAATTTTTGCAAATGTGATTAAGGTAAGACGCACAATATTTTCTGGTGGGTTTTAACAGACAAGACTTACTTGACTAACGTTCAATATTTAAATAGATAATTACTGTGACCAAGAGAATCTTAAGTTGCGTCGCAAGCGGATCTTCGAGCCCTGGGTGGAACCTTGGAGCAGTTCTTCTGTCTACGCATTCAGACCACGTATGAAATTACTCCCACTAACTAAATTAACCGTACACTCAATCTTAATTAATGCCACATTTGAAACCCCTGTAGTTGTCTGAAGTGGTATCCGCATATTCCGCATACGCCAAGGCATTGGGATATTCTTCAATGATCTTGTCTGACAAAATGAGTCTTCAAGAGTTTGCTCGCTTTGTTTTGGAAATTTCAGTGCCAAAGGGTATACTACAAAAGTAATAATTTAGTAGGTGGGCATACTTTCTACATGTTCCAAAATGTTGTTTTACAGGACACCTCGACATGACATCCTTATTATTTGCTCCTCTCGAGGTGCGTATCCATACTTGTGTATCGTACAGATTAATTGTTGGTAATTTTAATACTAATTGAATAATCAATTTCTATTTCAGCATTTGAGAAATATTTGTGAAATATGTGAAGAAATAAGTCACAGCAGTGATGCATGGGCGGAACTTTTCACCCATCTAAAAGTGCGTAAGAAATGAGGAAACTGACCGTATGGTTTAAAAGAGATTGTCACTCTTCGCACCATGCTAATCACTTTTAATGAATTTCAGGAATGTTATGCAGATATTGTTTGTGAAACCGATTTTATGGAGCCTATATCCCACGTCAGCATGAAAAAGAATCCGTTGTTATCCGTCCGTGATTTGGTACGTGAATTATTTTGAGTAAAATTTCGAATCAACCCGGGTGATTTGTATTATTCCGGTTTAAACCACATAAGAAATTCGATGATGTTCCCTGAGTGAAATCTGTTTTGTTTACAGGAAAAGCGGGTCGTTTCTACTAGTTGTCAGGTACATACATACATATGCGATTTGGATCTCAGACAGGCTACTTACTTATTTTCTTCTCAGAATGTAAAATTAATGACGATGTGTATGAGTGAGTTGTTTGTTTGGCTAGAGATCTTATTCGCCAAACATTTCCATTGTGCCTGAATCATTCGGAGGCAGCGTGTCCTCTTACACAAAAATGAACAATAGCATTAGTTCGCAAAATGTCTGCCTGTTATGCAATGTTGTCGACAATGTTGTCAACAATCAACATCCATTACTCCATTACTGCTTTTGTTGTAGTCAAAGGATCATCCATTTGGAAACGTCACATCACATTTTACACAATAGTTCCTAGTTTAGAGTTCTCTTGTACTTGCGTCTAGACTCGAGACGGACGCCATGTAAAAATAGGTTCTCTCCGAATTGTAACAAATGTTTTATGCGGATCTGTTTTTCGGTGACTTCTGTTAGACGTTCATTACCCTGCAGTAGAAATGAGTACATCATAACGGGGTTGACTCAAGGTTAGGCCTTAACACGTACATATACGTTTGCATAAATTTTCATACGTAACATATCTAATTCTCTATGATGCTCCATTGTGACATAAATAGACGTATGCACGTACAAACATTCTAACAAACACTATCTCGCATTTTCGGTAAAACTGAAAATCAATCAATCATTCTGCTAGCATTATGAGTTGTTGTTTACTTTAACATGTCCGTTACGTAAACTAGATAATTTGAAGTATGAAACATGCTCACCCTTTCATTTAGGTTTGGTAACTGTTGCATAAATAAATAGGTTCATAAGTCACTTGTATAACAAATTACTATGCTGGTTATTGATCATTACTATGATCGACACCCACTTGTTACATAAATTCGTCATTTACATAAGCAATCGTAGTTCTAACTAAATGATAAATATTAATAATTATTATTGTTGATGTGTTGCATGGACTCGTAAATTAGATGTTTCGTTGGAACATTATGTGTTACGAAAACGGATTACAAAAGTGGTCCATAAGAGATATCCTTGTGTCAAATTCATAAACCTTGATGTAGAGATACGTCATCATAAGAATTACTTGGATACCAGGAAACGACGTGCACTAATTTATATATTTAAGTTTATTGTTCACCTAAATTGTTGGAAGTAATCACCAACGCATACATAACTACACATACAATTTGGACTACTCGCGTTGCGTAATGGGTATCTTTGTACTATGATTATGGCATCAGGGTGGATTAGATCTCGTTAGGGTTATTTTTATATCTAAACTCGTCAAATGACAACAATTTTTAGCTCGTTATACAGACCTATGTAAGGAACATTAATTCTTAGAATGCCGGAGGTGGCCGTATATTCCCGTTTTGTCTAAAATAAGATTATCTTAATAACAATATTTTTCCGAAGGTTATTTTTCAGAGTTTCCCGACATTCCCCGATTAAATTTCTCATCATCTTGACTAATAATAATTAAACCTACGGTTAAGACTTCCAATATCTTGAATGCTTGCTTGTATAAACACTACTTCATTTGTCAAAAAAGCGGAGCATGGCAATTATTACAATGAAAGTATTTCTCACGAAATTGGGATAGTTGATAGTCAACTACAGCTTCACCTCTCAAATACAGAAAATCAATTTGTCCTGCAATAATAGGAAATGTTTAATATCAGAGAAACAAACAGTAGGGCTTTAACTTAGGACTTCAACTTCCTTAGCTCCCATATGTATGAAGCCTCTATCAGTATTTACTTATGTGAAATTAGAGTCAGTCCTAAATATTTGGGTTTTCCCTATCTTTTTGTTAAAAATGGAACATTGAAGAAATCCTAAAATAGGATATCTTCTAAAAGTTTGTTCTAATAAATGTTTGCTATCTTCGTTTAATTTTATGGCTGACGGTGGTTAAGTTCTCCACAAAGTAATCATCAACGAAATCTTCAAATAATGAACCTGAAAAACAACTTGTAGTTACTTTTCGTATAGCAAGCACAGCAATTTGTCAACATTAATACAAAATATTTCCTCAGATTGGTTGAACATGTGTGGGAGATAAATTTCCCTAAAGTTGAAATTAGTCGTCGCCTTCAGGGAAAACGTGGGAGAAAGTTCTATTATTGGGAAAGTAGGATGCGTAGAACCAAATTTTAGCTACTTCCTGTCACATGCTGTTTTTGTGACTGGAATGAACTACACATCATTTAGTGATCTAATATGAATTGTTTACGACGTATTCTTTTTCAGTCAAATATCTATACAGAATCAGTGAAAACCCAAATTTTCGTTGACTTCTTTTTGCCTACGTGAGCTTTGTCATGTCGATTCAATAAATTGTTTACAGCAAAAAATTGGTCTTCACATCGTACAAATCTTTAGTCATGCCAGGACATGCCAGGGGTAAACTTCTTCAAGATTATAGAATAGCATGGCAAATTTTCTACTGGTTGACAGGATTGGTTAGAGAAAGTTGCATATTTATAAATCATCGTGTGCCTTGTTACTTGTTTAATCATGCATTTGTTCTCTAATTCCTTATGCTTTTTGCCCAGCACTAAACTTGTTGACAACAAATTCCAGGGGGACAAACGTACGTTCCTGCATGTTAAATTATAACTCAAGGCCAACGATACAATGCTTACATGCATGCATATATGCACAATACGTCAATTTATCATCTGTCATACAGTAAATACATTTAGATACTTGCCAGCAGTTGTTGACAAACAAGATCTTTTTAAATTACTGTCCACGCTTCGTCATGTTCTACATATCACTACACATTTTCGACAAGAAGTACATGTGTACATGAACAGGGAACGGACCTTTTTTCAACAAAAGCGTTGAGCTCGAAACATATTTATGTGCCCGTGTATAATCAGAGGCTTATTGAACATGAACTTCGACAACAATGCATGGATGGTGCAATCAGACCTTCAGCATATTTTTTTGCTTGATAAACTCGACACATTCAAGGAATAAAATATGCCCTGATTACCATGTTTCTGGAAGTCAACTAATTTTGTTTACTACTTTTTTCAGCCGGTGAAAGTTTGCGAGAAGGGAAGACGGTGGCTTTTTGGGAGCAGACTTTTCAAGAAGGAGTCGGATGGGAGTTGGAGCCCCGTGTGGGCATTTCTTTTTTCGGACATCGTTGTCCTCACTTCTCATACGACGAGGGATCGCGTATTCTTCGTCAAAGAAAGCCCAATCCGCCTTGAGGACGTGGTTACGCTACACTTCAACCTCCCCCGTAAACATGGTGCGTCACATACGTATAATTAGTACATTTCCTGTCGTAGGTCTTACATAAATACGTACATACTCGTTCTTGTTGTATCCGACTTTCTCCAACGATTTACTTGCGTACACTGAATGAATGGAGGGGCAATCAGAGAGATGAGATGGCCACTTAAGGTTTCGGAGAAGCGACATACATAATATGCAATAATGTTAATGTGCACTCTATCACGCCGGAGACAGCGTGTTATGTAGTAGAAGAAAGCATGAAAATTGCCTCCTCCGTGTTCTAAGTAAAATATAAACAACAACAACAAGACTTTCAAGGTTTTCTCTTCCTCCTCTTTTCCTTGTTGTATCTTGTGGACCACATCAAAGGGCGGCCACACTACGAAACCAAATGATGCGCATCAGTAGGAAAACATATATTTATAACTGTTTTTGGTTGACGCTGGCACTTCTTTGCCTAGAACGGCTTTTTATCCCGCTGGATTATTTTTGAGTCGTGTGGTGATTGCTTGAATAAACAATTGGTAATCATCGAACCACGAAAACAAGCAAGACGACGCTCTTTTCGTTCAATGTATGGTCAGGGATTACTGATAAAGAAGCTGTGAAAATGGGAAACTTGTTTTCATTTTATTCCGGTTGTTCGCTTCTCCCAAATTTGCATATCAAAACGGGGAAAATATTGAATGACGCCTCTGGTTTGACGGAAATAGAATTCAATGCGTAGTGCATACATAAGAGAGATGAAAGCTTCGTTTTACCCAATTTCAGAGGAATTTTATTGGCTCTGATAACTCCTGGTTCAGTTTGCTTACTTTTGAATTGAAGTGGGCCTGCCCAACGTGAACCACTCCTATTAAATGGTAGACGTATCAATCCATGGATTCAGCACGAACTTGAATGGTTTTCTGCGAAATTGGGATTAGTGGTGGCTCTCTCATCTCACAGAAAATCAAGGATTTAAAGGAGCAGTCATACCAGTTATACAATTTATTTGTGCATGGGCTGAGAGTACTTATGAAACCATAGAGTTGGTTTCGTAACGCCACATCAAAGACATATGTATGTAATTTGGTAGTTGTGAAGCCATTTACAGCGTGATGACGCCCAGTAATCTGAGAAAATTGAATAAGCTAGTTCCGGTCCTAAACCACTACTCTACGTAATCCAATAATTTTCATATTGGGCACGGAAATGTAACTTATTTTGATTATATTTTTGAGAAATACGTACGCATACGATCGAAGTCGTAATAGTCAGAGGCATAAATCATGTTTACAGAGAATGTGCGTATATGTATTTGCACCTTTCTCGGATTTAATATTAAAGATGGTTGATTATAATTCCGTACCTAACGTTTGACAAAACGGTATCTTAATTTTTTTTAGAAAATGAGTTCAGACTCTTGTTTGAACCGGAACCAGTCTACCATTCCCGATTGGACAAACTCCTGCCACTACATCGGAACAAGAAATCGAGTCAAATTGCTTTAAGGGCACCAAACATTCAGTTGAAGAGCATATGGAAACTCTTGTTGCAGCGACAAATGTAAGTGAATACTGACGACACTTTATGAATGTTAATCGTATTACGCTTCATTCTTGCTTTCACTTGTATTTTTCATCAAAAATAATACTTACATATCGAGTAACACTATTTGCTATCACAGACACCGACCACTATCATTTCTATTCCGAAATCCGAATACAGACGAAATACATACGTACATATACTCAATTGCGCAAAGACAATACAAAAAGTACAATATTATGTAAACAAGAGGGTATTGAATAGTTAGAATTTTCATTCAATTTAGTGATTGTAAAACATAAATATACATGTATACTTCAGTACACTGAGGAGGAAAGCTTCACTACTTGCCCCTCTCAGATTTCGATGTCCTATGGACAGTAGAAGTAGTGAAGCTCTCCGCCGGAGTCATATCACTCTCTTATTGTTAAATATTTCTTTCCACATCCCAAAAACTGGACTTGCATAATTTCACGCTTATATAAACTCCCTGACATTCTACAAGTGTTATTTAAAATGCATGCTTATGTTGCTTACTCTCTAATCTAGAATAACCTTAAACACAAGACTTTCAAAGTCGGCCTCCTCCAACTTCTCCATCTCCGAGTTCTGTGAACGGTTTCCAATCACACCTCAATGTGAAGACGAGAAAGAAGACCACCCACCAGCGGCACGAGACAAAAGTAGTAGTGACTACAAGAAAGGGGGGGCTGGTAATGGGCTGCCTGTTCCCACAGTCGGTGGTCTTGCCAAGACATCAACGACAGCAGCATCAACCTCAATTTTTGATCGACAAAACCTTCCTGACGAGAGAAATTTGAGTGTGATTAAAGAGGAGAGGAGTTGTAGCCAGTCGAAACCGCAGATGAAGCCGTATGCTCCTGACGGATTATCGAGCATGTCGAAAGAACTTCTCAAAAGCCGCGTTCCTCGTATCCTCCCCGCGGAACGTAAGGGCAGGGCGGTGGTGGATTCCATTCCTGAAGAGATCAAGGTCTCGATCCAACCACGACATGACCCAACTGACACAATTGTTGAACATTCTGCCAACCAAACTTCCCTTTCATCTGTCAATTCTAATTGCTTTAAAGCCTCAAGGATTGACATTGAGGTAGCGTCAAACAAAACCAAATCCCCGTTGTTAGACGACCCTCGATCGGTTACGAATTCCAGAACTGCGAATCCTGGAACAGATTCGTGGTCTGATAAAACTACAAAGTCCCAATTTACGTCCACATCCTCCAATAAATACCAACAACTTCCTTCCACCTCAACAGATATGACTGTCGAGTCCAAACCTAGTCCTTCCCCAACAAATAATAATAACAACAATGAAATTATAGACTTTAATCAAACGTCCCGAGCAAGTGAGAAATGTCCTTGTGCGGTGGAGAAAGTTGGGCTGTCGATGGAAGGCACGTGCAAAGTTGGTGCCACCAGAACTGCTCGCAGCGGAGATGATATTTCAGTTTCATGTGCTACAAAAGTCCAAGTGGAGAGCAATTCCTTTGATAGAAAGCCTCCTGCAGTGAAACCAAGAACCCAGACAGGAAGATCATCACAAGTGAGTAAAGATGCTTCATCAGAAAACGTAAAAATTGAGTCACCTCGTCCAGCTCCACGTCCAGATTTACAACAACGAAATATGCTGGCTTCTTCTTCCCCATCCCCTGCACCATCACCGTCCATGAGCAATAATAGAGTTGAAGCTTTAAAATATGAGGGCATTGGATCGTCGGGTTTGATAAAGTCAAAACCAGGGTCAAAGATTATGACTAATGCTACACTTAAGTCTCGTCACCAAGAACTACTAGCTCAAAAGGAAGGTCAAACCATAATTACGATGGTTGAAAAGCCTTCCTCTAATTCCGCGAACGATACTGATTGCATTTTGATAAGCCAACACATTGAGCAGGTAGCACCCACAGGCACCAAGGACACAAAGGACGCCTCGTCCTCGCCTCTACTTGCTCCTCGGTGCCAATCCGAAAATGGGTTTGTGAAGCCCAAGTCTGTCCATACAGACTCGCCAATTCTGACGGGATTTGGATCAGAAAAATCTCGCAGAAGAGTGTTGTATGACTACAAAATCCAAAGAGATTACCCAGAACTTTTCGGAATTAGCCCGAAAGACCGACGCTCCTATATAAAACAACTCGCAGAGAGACGACCAGATAATGATAAGCCACTCATTGCACCTTATTATTTCTCACCTCTCCCCACACCCAAATTTGCCAAACGACAAGACCCAGTGGTTCCCGACCTGGTTCCCAGTTTCCCACCTTCTTCTCAACCCATACAGCCCAGTAGTAATAAAATGGGCGTAGGGTCTCAATGTAACAATTCTCCCAATCTCAACACCCAGAAGGGTAGTAGCACTGTTATGAAAATTTCAAGTAAACCAGTAACTTCAACGGCCCCAGCCTTAAATCCTCAGAGTTCTAAGCTTTTCAATGACTTGAAACAAAGGTTGGTACAGCAGAACTTGGTGGAGAGTGATGCGGATGGTGGTGAAAGGTCAAATGAAGAGAATGAGATGAGCTTGGAGGATATGGCGCGAGGGATTCTAAGAAATGTCCACTCTGACGAGGAGGAGGAGGAGGAAACGGATGAGGATTCTCAGGAATCTGACGAATGTCAATTGGGCGCAGAGGTGAGAGCTCAAGTTCACCGACAACGAAGTCCGGAAGAGTCTTCGAACGACTCTGGAATTAGTGATGAGTTGACTGAGAAAACCAAGACAAAGGAAAACAACGAAAGATTTCAGTCCAACGTGGCAGTAAATTCATCAGAGGTAAAAATTTCCTCTAAAATCAGCAATTCAATTGTAACACATTGCGACAAGATGCAATTATTGCCTAATAAAACAGCACCATCACATGCTTGCATTTCATCATCACAGAAAGCAAACCAAATGAATACTAAGATAGATCTCTGTCATGTCTGTTTTGAAGGCGAAGAGAAGACTGGAGTGGAGGGACTTTTGGTACTGAAGGCTGACAAGTCACAGGCTGACAAGTGTACAGGAACGGACGATGAATACTTTTCTCACACCTTGACCACCACCCCCACCACAACTTCTTTAGCCAATCAACCTGAAAAACCAATGCGAATTCTAATGGCGGAACGTCGAGAAGCTTTCTTTGCTAGTTATGCTAACCAACAAACCTTATCATCGTATTCTTCCTCAGCCACTGGCGTCGCCGCCTCCTCCTCCTCCTCATTCCGAATAAATAACAGCTCTTTATATTCCCCTCATCATCAAACCTACTCTTCTTTCTCCCACTCACATTCTTCCTCCTCTTCTTCCTATGCAAGAATGGTGGTGGAAAACGAGTCTCCGCTCAAAGTAAAAATCCTGAACGGCGGCACCCTGCTCACTACCCACCCCGAATTAAAAACCGGTGCGAAATCTCCCCCTGAAGAAAGGGTGCAACTTATGCGGTTTCCAGAAAAAGAAAGAAACGCACGTTTAGAACATGTGGAATCGTCGGACGATTCAACTTCATCTGATTTGGCGTCTGCATCCCCTGCTGCAGAAAATGGGACGACAGACCCTTCGTGGTCGTCATCCTCTAGCTCGTTGGCAGGAGGAACGACGAGTTCCAAACTGGAAGAGCCTTCCACGTCAATGAGCACTTCGGGTGCCACATCCATTTACAATAGTTGCCCAATAAACAATAATCACAGCCAAGTTGCCTCCACGTCTTCCCTTACCAAAGTATTTATGAGTGATTTTACAAATGGCCTCCCTAGCACTAGCTTCTGTAATGGATCCTTGAGTCTGTGTGGAAATAGTTATGGTGACAGACCTGAAATCGTTGTAACGCAAGAGTCCCCAGAGACCCCCACAGTTCGAAATGGCTGTAACAGTGATGGTGAAGAGGACGAGGACTTGGTGGGCAGCAACGGGAGTAAGTCTTCATCATATGCGAATTATCACGGCGACATAGGGAGCAAAAAAGGTTTCCTTCGCGTTGGGTCAAATGACAGCACCGTGGAAAACTTTGGTGACGATGACTACATTTTTGACGAGGAGGATGAGTTATCTCAGTGTTCCGTGACCACAATAAACAGATATGGGACTTATGAAAGCTTGGAGAAAATTGAAGAGAGTGATGATGGGGCTGGAAATTTGCCTGATTTCTCCAACAAAATGACCAGATCTAAGGTAAATGCATATACCATTTTGCTAACGCAGATAAGTAATTCGATACATTGAAGTTTGTACTCCTACATCAGCATTTTAATATTCTTGATAACTAGATCATTGATCCGATTTGAAATTATATTGTTTGTACACATTTAGATATCTCTTCAAGCACTTTTTAGCCCGAACCAGGGCTTAAAATTATTTATTAACATAAACATTGATAAAGTATGAAATACACTTAGTTGGCTTGGGGAGTAGAGGAAAAACCCGATGTTGGTGGGTTGGGAAAACCTTTACTTGATCCGGATAGGCGTCCGAGATCACCATTCGGCCCCTTACAGGATTTTTGTAAATAAAACGACCTATCATTTAAAATATAAAATAATTCTTCTAATCCTCGTTGACTGGGGACAGCTCCCATGATTGATGCCGCATTCCCGCGTTGAACTGCCAAACTGATCCGTTGAATGAGAAATGTTGTTGACATTGGTCCAGTGACATCCTTCATCCTCCTCCCAACATCTTGGATGAACTTCAACCCTTCCATCCCCCATACTCCTGATGTCTCGACAGCCACCGGAACAAAGATATATTGTTTTTCAAGTTCAGAGTAAAGTTTGTGTTTTTTGGTCTCGGCTAGTTTTGCTGCTGTGCCAGCATGTCTAAGTGTGTGAGAGAGATAAGAGGGGGCAAAAGTGTCTGTACATATAAAGTCCCATATTAGTGAGCGTCCCTGTTTGTAAGGTATTAGTGTTAGACCATCCGGTCTTTTTCCATCTGTCCTACAACACCCTAATGTCCTACAACACCAGGGCTTATGTAATTGTCATGTCCGTCTGTCTGTCTGTCTGTTTGTCTGTCTGTCTGTCCGTCTGTCTTTCGATAACTCTCGAACGAGTTGACCGATCAACTTGAAATTTTCACCATATGCATATTGGACAAAGTTAGGAAACGAGTTCGAAGATGGGCCAAATCGGTCAGGTGGTTGACCAGTGGGGGTCATCGGAGTGGGTGGGGTAGTATGCACCAAAATTTCAAAATTGCTATAGAGAGCTGAAATTTGGTACAGAGGTTGCTAATGGCTCCTACGAGATAAAAATGACTTCAAGTTGGAAAATTTTTTATCTTGAGTGACCCTAGGGGGTGACCCATACTGATTTTTCAAAATCGTCATATCGAGCTGAAATTTGGTAGATAAGTTGCTTATGGGTCTTAACGGAGGAATATGACATGAAATTGATAAAATTTTTATCTAGAGCGACCCTATGGGGTGACCCGTACCGATTTTTAGAAATTAGCATAGAAAGCTGAAATTTGGACCAGAGATGCTTACTGCTTTCTCATGAAATAATATGAAGTTAAATATGACAAAAATTAACCAGAGGGGCTATAGAGGCGACCCCCACTGGGAAGTATTCAAGGACAAGGATAGTAAATATTTTTAGAATTTGGAGCCTAGTAGTACGAAAGATTGATGCTAGTTAACCCACAAATTAGTGTAAAATAGTAGCACATAATTTTATAGAAAACTACTGACAAACATGGGTTTACTAATCACTCCTGGTTCGGGCTAAGCAAAGCTGTACTGATAGGTTTTCATCATTACATTGCAGCTAATACCTTTTCATACTTCAGTTGGAGCCTTTGACATTTTCAATCACTTCTAGCTCCCATTCTCTCATTTTAGATTTTATTTGCTTTAGTCCAGTTGCAATGTTTTTCATAGATAACCCCTTAAACAGTGAACGGAATTTTGTCCACTGGAACCCTACAACACTGTTGATGAACAATCTGATATTAGTTTTATATGTAATCACAGTGAGTAGCGTCACTAATTTTAATCGACATGACACGTGAATTGAATATTTGTTGTGACTAACATTAGCGAGAATGGAAATCAGTGTGTTAATCGTATGCACTGTTTTTGCAAACGTCTCAAACTTTATCTGCAATTGTAATTGTGTATAAAAAGCTGACTATGTTCTATAACCTAAGGCTCGCTTCACGTTTGATGACGATGACTCTGACGATGACAACGATTTGTTTGAAGAAGATTTTGAATCAGGTACTAAAGTTGTTAACAGTATGCATACGTAAATATGTAGAAATTATTGAGCAGCATTGGAAATAATTAACTTTCTTTAGATTTTAACTTCCGGTTCCCATCTCAAATTCAAGACAACACTTACAGTAAGTTCAGTAAGTTACATATTTTTGTTGTACATTTGTTACAGTCGCAGTTAGAAAATCCAGTTAGTTCTTTCACTTTTTGCTTACCGTTTGTGTGAGTGTGTGAGAGAAAGATTGATCCTACCTTCACTATATTTGTTTAATGACTGTACAACTGTACTTACTAATGTGTACTTGTGGAATAGATTATAGGCAAATTGCATGTATGAGTATTGATATGAGTATGAGTATACAAATAAGTATTGCTTTTCGGAAATAATTCATAAGGTCATTAGAAACGTACGAGAATAACGATGCTATACTAACTTTTTTCTGACTAACATTTTACTATTACAAAGATTTGTGTATGTATACATAGCTTTCAAATTAGTTTTCTGTGACCTTTCGGCATAACCGTTCTTTTAACGATAACACAATTTATAGTGCATGCGAAACAATACTAACACGAGCATCAAGCTACCATGAAACTTCTTCGACAACCGGCTGACTTTAGACCTGGCTGTTGTAAAGGTGTTTCTCGTCTGGGTCCTTTGCCACCATTGCTGGAAGAAGATTTCGAGGACGACATGTACGATGAACAGCGGGCAGGATGCAGTTCGGCAGCTCTTCCTGGTGGCAACTTGACATCTGCGACGAGTCTTGTGAACGGGGCCACGTTGCGAGCGAGGCATGAGGTATGACACTTTTTATGGCTTTCTTCACCCTTTTCTGAGAAATCACAACTTCCCCCAATGTCTTTCCTCTTGTTCTCAAAGACAGGTCTGAGACACGATAACAGCTTTCTTCTTGCTCGGCTTGCCACCATGTACGCTCGCAGCACCATCAACAGCCCCCTCAAAATTTTGAGAGACCTCTGGCTCAAGAAACGGTATGCACCTCATGCTTGACTTCATACGAACTGTTTCACCTGTCCTTGGTTTTACATTTCTTTTGGTTCAAATTCAAACAATAAATCACAAATTGCTCGACTGGATGATTCTTTAAGCTATAATCTGTCACAAATATGCACACTAAACAAGATTGCCACAATATGTTATGAGAATATGTTTCTAAAGTCATATTTGAGTTTAAAACTCACCCAAATACGAATTAAACATATTTTAAAACTAATCTATCTACTAATTTTTATTTTACAAAAGAAAGTTTCTCTGTTTATTACAATATTTATAAAATCGCGTACTTTATGTATACATGTACATATATTCTACTTCGATATCACTATCGGGGTACGTACATACATACAAATATAACGCACATGATGGGAAAGTTAGAGACTCTAACTTTCTTTATCACTCTAACTTTGGATTATAGTTACAAAAAAGGTATTCGATTTAGTTTTCTTGCAACTGCTAGGTTTCTTATTATTGAGCACCAAGTGCTAAATTGATCCATGAATACTACTAAATAATTTTGTATTGAACTTTGTATAATTCTTGTTCATTATAGATACCGTCAATCTGAAGACTGGAAGTATAAGCAGTATAAAGAGTAAAAGTGGAAGCAGACGACAAGGATGAACATTGTGGACGCCTTTCACCCATATTCACCCATCCAAACTTCGATAGGAATTCTGACTTCGTGTAACTTTAACATTTTCAAAAACTGTTTCGAATCAAGTAATTTCTGCATGACTTGAAGGATTGCGCATGCTACTCAGCTCCAATATGATCTTTAGTATAGACAGTTTTAACCATCAGCATGTAATATATACAACACAAAACTGGTGTTGCGTATTTATCAACTATGCAGATACATAATTATATCTTTCTAAACAAAAAAACTTTCCAAAGGTACTTTTACTTTTTTCAAGAGTAAGTTCCAAATATGTAACTATTGTAATAGTTGTGCAATCACATTGCCAAAGACACATCTGATTTTGTCCAAAAATAGAGTATGTGAAATATACCGGTTAGGTAATTGTGTGATCAAGCATCTAGGATTTGAGACATTTTCGTCTGTTTACTAAAACGTGCATAAGAATACTGTGTAAAACTTTTACTGTTCTTCCACTTTGGCTTAGTTGAACATAGTCAAAACGCCTACGCAATCTCTTACTGAAACTGAAAAATTGAAAAGTTGAAACTTGCGATTGATCGTACGACATATACTCACTCACAGACAGTCAGTTGATTTACTTATATTTGATCTCAACTTCTGACAACCGTTACGAGTTCGGGTTGTAAGTTACATAAATCCTCGGTCGTGAATTCGGATGTAGAATTATAATTCTATCCTTTACCAATCTGTCATGAATGTGACCACATTGGAGCACATTGCACATAATGTGACTTTCTACATACTTAATTGAGGAAAGGATACCTTTCTACTATTGTTGTAACTCATAATATCCTCAAATTTCAAAGTTGTTGCTTTCTGGCAAACATGCGAAATCATGAAGCAACTATTTATCTAATGGGCATGTTATGCAAACGATGCACACTGACACGTAGCTGTTGGTATCGTCATTATCGATAAGCGGTCTGCACGACCCACAACTGGTCATGCACACATAACATGCAGAAGTAATATAGAAAATAACTAATAATAGCACACGGTCAGAATGCTATTTTGAGTTGCTTTCAGTGTTTCTGATAATTACGGAATGAAACGGCTATCTCTCCGACCAATCAAAATACTTCAACGAAATAACAAATACAACGAAGTTTCATTTGTCACATTTTCCAATTATGTACGTTTGGCTGTGGAGTGTGATTCCTATTTGCCCTTTGGATATGTAGGATGAATTATCTTTCATCAGAGTCTCAATTGAACACTCTGATGGCTAAAATTTGCACTTCCGAATCATTCGAGTGAGTGAGTGTCGTATTTTCTCCCACTTTCTCTACTATGGACAGACACACATTTATAAGTAAATACATACGTCTATATATAAGTTCACTCAACTAATAAATAGATAACATGGTGTAGTACTTAACATGCACTGTGACCACCACCACGCCATTCTGTGACTTTCTCAGCTTCTTGTTCGCAGTGCGTACAGTCAATATTACGTCGCCCTCAAACACGCCCCAGGAACTAGCAGTAGTAGAAAGTTGTCTATATATAATTTTCCAAAAATACAACAGTCACACCTACCTACCTCCCCACATAATTTCATCCTACGAGTATTTTATTCTCGTATTTCGGCATTCTCTCTACTACTATTTAGGGCATAGACGCGTAAGTGGATTAATAGTAAACATGGTCATGTTATGAAATGTAAATAGGAAAATGGGACAGTTAGCAAAGTCAGTTATGATGACTGTGATGACGTCAGTGGGCGAAGGAAGATGGAAACGTCCTGCAAAGAGAATTACTACATATTACTGCTACACATTTCTATGACTCATTGTTAGCATAACTAACTTATAGACATTGGCTGAATAAAAGTCGAGCATTATTCCATCCTCATCTCCGAACAAAGACCTGGTGATGACGATGTAGGATTCCAGTCCTTGAGAGGAAAGCAAGTCATCTGCTCACTACGTAAGTATGCACGAGGAGAAGGAGAAAGAGGAGCGAGAGTTTCGTTAGTTTCAACTGAACAAGTGGACGAGAGATATTTGTGTAATTTCGACTTTCTCTCTACTTCTTCTTCTTTAGTATCCGTGTCATGTCCATTTAGGTCAATGCTGTTCACACTTTTGTGGACTTGAGGCAATTTTACTACGTCGCGTTGTCAATAAAGGTTAGTGAGACCCACTGTGTAAAGTATGTATTTTAAAAATTGAGATTTTCTCCAACCATCAATTACGCAACAATAATAATAATCAACACAAACTAAAATGTGAGCTGCTGTCGTTTGTATGCATAAAAAACCAACTTTATTGTACTGTATGTATATGCCAACGTTATTAAGGATGTGTACCTGAAAAGTTTAATAAATAATTTTTGACTTCCATGCCCGTCTATTTTCTATTTCTCGTCTTGTCCTTGTCATAATCGGAGCATTTTGATAACGATCGATCGAGTGAGTGTGAGTACATACATACGATTATCCGGGTGAGAGAATGTTTGGACCTGTATTTCTGTGGTCCACATGTTGCACATCCTTCAAAAATATTTTTCGTATGAAATCTCCTTTCTAACGAAACCCAGTGTTTGCGTTTATCATGTATTTACCAACTAACGGGATATTATATATTGCTCAGCATTTACATAAATATTCTATAAATCCAAACGCATGCCGCATGTTCAATATATTCACCTGAATGTACATATACTAAGTAATTTCTTTTATGTTGTGAAAGAATAACTTATTTACTACCGTTATTGTCTCTAATATTGAAGAAAGAGATTAATAAATAACTTTGAAATGAAAATGTTTGACATGTTTGCTTGTTGTTTACCATTATTCATCAAAGATGCGAATTGGATATCAGTCTTAATTAATTTGTTGCTTTGCATAAAGAGGAAACGTGAGCTTTTGTGCACAGTGTTTACAATATAACAAATCAAGTGCCTTTGTCATGTTTATGGCGATACATATGCTTGTGGAATGCAAATAAATTACTTTCAGGTTATCCGGATTGAGCAAATTTAACTATTGAAGCCTGCTCCAGAGTTCATGTCGTCATCAATAGTCGTGGAAAACGATATTATGTATATTGCGACACGACGAACGATGTCAAGAGAGCCAAATTGTCACTTCTAACTGCTTGGAGTTTTTTAGCAAGGTGACATTGAAATGGAAACTCGAAATTGGATAAAGTGCTCAGGAATTTCTTGAATTATAAATCCGTAGTGCCAGTTCTCAATCAAAAAATGTCTCTTTTATATATTTTTTGTTTTCAAATTTGCTACAATAAAATGATCTTAGCATTCGACAGAGTTATACAAAGTTCCAAGATTCTTCTGACTGACGTGATCCATTAGTTGTCTGGAATCGTTGGGAGCGAAGTGACAATCCGGGCGACGGGATAAAAAATCGCATTTCCATTTTGGAGACATGAATGGGAAGAGGGATACAGAAACAAAGGTTCCTTTTAACCAACTTTTGGTTCTTTCGCTTGTTATCTCGCATTGTTTAGACATCGCCAAAGTCATCATGGTACAAGTCGTAACCTGGTCGTAGGTATAAGCATACACATAATCACGACTTTCTGAGGAATGTACATAAAAAATCGACTAGCGTTGGATTGTGTAATGCTCGTCTGCAATAAAAAAGACTACGACATGATGCATACATGTAGTGCATATGTATGCCTGTTAGTTGAAGCGTGAACATTTCGTTACGTATTTATTCTACTTTGTGGATTCAGTAACGCAGCTACAAAATCATGATCACACTTTCTGTCCACGTGAAACCCTAAATTTCCAGGTTATTATTTGCCGACCCACATTTCCTTGATATATTTTCTATTTATAGTCAGTTGCCAGTTGAAATGTACCAATAGATTGACTAAATTGGTTTGCTTTTACGTCAAAAGTTTCAATCATGAAGCACGAAAATCAAAGACTGACTGTTGTGGTGAACTAATAAAGCTGGCAAGGACAGGTTCGATGTCCAGTGATGTCATATGCTTTCATGACATACATACATGCACAATGTGTATGCATATGTTGTATGTATCTGTACGTGTATAATTCTAAATCTCTTCAAAATTCTATTTAAAGGATTTGCAGACTTATAGATTTTTGGATGTAATTATAACGTATAACCTGCTAATATAAAATAATTCACGTTATTACATGGAACAAATTATATGGCCATTTTTAAGTAAATTCAAATTCGGAGCAAAGCAAATAACAGCCAATTTTATTAATTAGGGGAAATTTTGATAATACTGGTGAAAGCTACCACAAGTAACCATACGTCTTTTTAGTAAGAATCGAGGCTTATAGAACAAACTTTTGTGAAGGTCTCCAAATTTTTATTTTTTAATGTTTGTCAAGTCCTTGAGAACCAAGAAAAGTACATTTTAGCGTACCATGTTTATTAAATAGAATTAGACTGTCGGAAAGTATTTTTATCATCATCCGCATACATAAAACTCTATGCAATGGACCCAACTGAAGGCTGCCTTATTTTTAGTAATTGTCGATGGACCAGACATTAACAACCACAACCAGTTAGTTTGGACTCCAATGGCAATTTTGGCAGTTGTGTAATAACATTCGAACAAAGCACACCCATGGCTTGGCATAACTACCTGTCTACTCATCTCGTCTCACAGCACGTTAGAAATTAATAACTTACAACTCTAATGACGTTGGATCCAACAAAACGAAATGTCCCAATTCCCTGTATGTTGACAAGAAGGTGGAAGAAAATGGTTGTTGGATTTTGTGCGCCTACAAAATGTACATACATACATATAACATAACATGATAAAACTGAACACATGCATTAATGGAGCATACACAAAGTGCTAATTATTACGACCTTTTACATAATTTAAACTAATAGAGCCTCTGTATCCTTAATGACAAATAAATGTAGTTTCACGAAAGTTCTGTTGTAACATGATTATATGCTTTCAAAGGAAAAAATACATAATACGCCCTTTGTTGGTGTACGTATTATTAGAAGTTTTACAATAGTGCTTAATTTCGAGGGTAATTTAGGTAATTGATTTTGAAATATAGGATCATTATGTGTGGCGAATGTTTTTCTAATGGAGACGCCGATTCCATGAGTCATCCCTTTTGCAGTTCTTTAGAAAGAGAAAGTTGGAGCAAGTGATTTTAAATTTGCGACAGTTGAGTCGAGAGGAGTGGAGTGTATATGGGGAAAGTTGGGTAGGTATGTGCCTAAGCGTTTGACACTGGGTATACTCCGGAGCTGAGGACATGGGTTGTGGTAGCGGTGTATCCGTCCGAGCACGGGATTGAATTCACATCCAGCATCCAGGAGGACGGAGGGGAAAGCAGCGCGCAGGCAGAGCTATCACTTGGTCCTAGGAGCGAGAAGCCTCTTGGAAACAGCAGGAGATAGATGGGAAGACTTTCTCTCCGATTTTCTCTTCAATATATTCCCTCCTCCTCCCTCCAATAATATTCCCACCAGCCAACGTTCCTCCTCTCGCTCTTGTCATTCCGCTCATCCACTCGCTCCTCCACATTCCGATTTCACAACGAAAGGTGAGATTCACATTTTTCCGCTTGTAAATCGCTCCTAAATAACCCATCTCGACTCACTCTGCACACAGGGCACGAATTCCACTGCAAACAGAGCACCAAGAGTGAAAGCGGCCCACGATACAGCAGTGGTTCCGTTGGAGCAGTTCCAAGAAACAGGGTTTGAAATAATAAACAGTGTAGTTTCTCTTCTGAAAAATTGAACTTTCACTTTCACGCAATAAGAGGAAGCAAGTGGATAATAATAATCCGACACAACGGAGCAATGAGATCTTCTTGAGCACCTACTACACGACCAACCTGTGGACGAACCAGGCTGCTGCTGCTGCCTCTACTGCTTCTTCTGAAGGAGCGAGCGGATTTCGTCTCCTTCATCTTGGAAGAGAATTGAGGTAGGCTGTTGCTTGCATCGTACAATTTGACTACTAATTCCTGCCTACCTCCACTCAACTCCCACGATATTCCTGACAAGATTCTTGTTCATGTACATACTTTCCTTGTCTCGTTACAGGCTAAATTTGTGTGTTTCATCCTATTAGCCTATTTTTAGCCAATTCCGTGAAAAACCTCGTCTGTAGGTTTCATGTTCGTCTTTTATTTTTCATGCATTAATTCTCTTGTCGTTCATTCTTGTCGTGAGATTATCATAATACTTATGTACACATGTATGTAGCTAGCACTATTAGCACACACCCATCATTACGTAGTTAGATTTTCTCATATATGTTCATACATATGCATAGCGGCACGATTTCATCAATCCTTCACTCATGATATAGGTTCTCGTGGTTTTCGTTCTCTGCATGTCAAACTTTCAATCAATCGTGACATCTCAAGAGCTGTGCTATTTTGGGCGGAAATTTAGTACACGGTGGTAAAAAGAGCAAAGTTTTGAAAATCTACGTCTCTCCTCAAGTGTCTGTAAAAAGGGTATAAAAATTCATGTTATGCAAAGTGGTATGAAGAGTGAGATGAGGAGTCAGCAGCGAGGAGAAGCAGAGTAGAAAGGAGGGGAAAGTACCTACGAATTGGAGATGTGGGTGTATTCGAAGCAAAAATGAATTACATTGATGTTACTTTAATAATCTTGCTTGGTTTCAAGTATTCTGGGAATGGCGAGAGAGAGAGGAAGCAAAGTCTATAAACTGAAAATGTGATGACCTTGATGTTTCCACGTACAGAAGTAAAGTAAAGCTTTATCGATCCAGTAGGCTTTGGTTGAAAACATGTAATGTATGTATGTGTATTCTGGTACAACCAGCTCTCTCAAGTCTTCGTCAATAATCCCATCCACCACTTTGCCATAATAATATCCGGGATAGGTAGTTACAAACGAAAAGAGAAAGAAAAGCCATGAACTGTAAGTATCGAAACTGATCTCAATCTAGTTCCTCGGAACTGGAATTTTTTAAATAAATAAACATCTGCAGCCTAGAACATAATCCGGCATTGTTCTGGAGCAGGAGCCTCTTCCAACTTTGCACTAATCTTGAGAATGTAGATATGTGTATATACAAGTCCTTCTACATGCATTATTAGAAATGTGATACATGTACATACATGGCTAGGATTTCTAGTTTGAGGCAGAAGAGTAAATCTCATGTTCCCATTGTGTCAGTCCGTTGGTCCGGAATCTCTCTTTTAGCTCATCATCCATAATTTTGTACATACTTAAAATATGACAAATTAAAGGTAAAGGAGTAAGATATGAAAAAGATCGGTCAAGTGATTGACAAGTATTCTGCATGGTTGTGCTATTTTTTGTGCAGAGACCCGGTAGGAATTTTACTTGTGGTAAAAATTTAAGTTAGTGAGAGTTAACTTATTTATGTACATGCACATAAACTAGCAGTAGGAGTCAGATTATCGAAATTGCTGTCAATGTTGTTCCTCATTGTTCAACGGGTACTGAGATTAAGACCGAGAGAAAGGAAAAATTCTGGCTCGGGCTAAATCAAGTTTTGTAGCTTTTATGTTTATGTATGTACGTATGCACTCGTAGTACGTATAGTATTACACAGATCTATGTACATAGCTGCATGAATCAATGTAAATGTCCATGAACTGTCAAGTATAATTTAGAAACTCGGTTTTATTTACTGTTCTTTTTTTTGCAGAATTATACATATGAATAAGTAAGCAATCTAGACTTTTTGTAATCCACTAATCCTGAACAGATCGGGGAACTTTACTTAAACCTGATTAAATTGTGTTTATTATTAGAGTTGCCCTTTCAGACTAATTACAAATGGGATTTGGAAGGATGAACTGGGAGAGAGTTACTACAGCAAATATACGGAAATGTCATTTAGTAGTATTGGTCCATTGGTTGTCTCTCGTTCCATTGTTCACGTATTACATCAAGGGATTGGAATATTCATTACGTCGAGTATTTAGTTTGTAGTACGTATACTAAATTTAATTCCGACAAATCATGAGATAAAGTCAGATTGCTTCAGGCAGGAGTCTACTATGACTTGAGTACAGAGAAATATACGTAATTTGAATTTTCGGGATTTGAGAAATTGCTGAGAGCAATCATGCCAAAATCTTGAGTTTGCATGCACTAGTTTGACAGCGTCTGCCGTTATTGGAAGAAGAGGACGAGCGGCGGAAACTGGTATTTACTTTTGGAGAAAATGAGTATTTACTTGCTTTTCTTAGAAAACTTGTTCAAATAAAGTAATGTTGAACTTATTCTGTGTCCCCATTTATCGATTTCATTCAGTATCACGATTGCTGGAGTGTTGTGTCGAACGATGGTATGTTGCAGATTGATTGACAGGACTCCGCCAACTGTTAAGGCAGAACAAACAATAAAGTATTCCAACCAAACAAGTTCCCTTTTGTTAGCGCTTTACAATACGTTTAAATTGCTCGGGAAAAGTTCACTCTAACGTATCCAATAACAAATTTACTATTATTGGATATTTATTCTAAGCTTTGGGCAAAAGTTTGAGTCCTTCTTTCACCAATCAATTACTTTTGCTGATGTGAAAACTTTCTTCTCCGTCATACGTAATGGATACCATTGAAATGTCGATTGCTACTCCATGAACCTAATATATACAGAGAGGCGTGTTCTTATTATGTGATACCAGAATTTTCCAGTCATTGCAAAGAAAGACTTCCAGTTAGTTCCAGGATTTCCATAATTGAGCACAGTTGCTTTACTTTCTTTCAAAATAATTACAATGCTGCGATGCAAGCAACTTGTCTTCGTGTTGGGCTCATTCGTCAGCATTTCCGTCATTCGATGAGCAATATAACAGAGTGTGCTATAATTTCATAATTGCAGACGTTTAGTATCTTGAAATTACGGAAGCCACTTTCCCCAGAAGTAGCAAAAGTCATATGCATGTACATGATTAAGAATGCATACATACATATGTGTGTAGTGGAAGCAAAAAATGGTGCTATGGGACGTATGTAAACCTTACCAATTTTCTTTCATTGTACTCATCATTACAGCAGTGTAAACGTATATTACTCCAATTATCCGAGCTGCCAACTTAATTCAAGCTTGGATCAAACCAGTTTAGTTTCGGTGTCAAATCATAAAGTCCTAAGTCAATCTTAACTCTCTGCTGGAGTTTTCTTTATGTAAGATTATTGGGAGACTGGATGACGCGAAACTTTCACAATTTTTACCTGTGGGCTTTCCTATTTTGATAAAATAATGTTGAAAATATTATGCAGCCCTTTCTTCCTTAAGATGTAGCAATGTTTCACTAGTCGGGTATCTCAATGTAACATTCTTATTGTTAAATCGAAACTTTATACCAACACGACCCCAACCAACTCTCATTTGAAAATATTTATTTACTCACAAAATAGCATTGCACATTGAGAACAATAAATTAACTTTTATCTGGATTACTTTGTGACTTGTTAACTCAAGGTTACTCAAATGTGTCTACATGAACCTCGACTTCCTTACACCACACTTGACGTGTGTCCATCATTACCGACCACAAATTCGAAAACTGAGCGTGTTGCTTAATGTTTTTTTTTAGATGAGAAACGAGAATTTGGAGCTGGCCCAAAGCAGTGGTAGCGACTCCAGCCCGAGTTGGGGGCTAGACTCCAACTCGGCTCGCGTATCAAATTTTACCTTCGATTTAGGGCCAACCAAAACGATTGACGACCTTACAACTCGATTTACCGTAAGCAACCCAAATTTAATGGAAGATTATGCTGTATTTTTTGACGTCAATTGCATTACGCTTATTCATTTTCATGAGCATGTTGGTTGGATGATTAATTTCAGTCAACATTGAGATCCACCAAAAGCTCGGAGGTGCTGAGTGAAACATCGGAAGAAAAAAGCACGGCAAGCACGTCCACCACAAGCTCTCACAATTATCACCATCTTTTTCCATCCACATCCAAACGGTGTTTCAAATACGGCTCGGGTGAACGGATTAGTGGAGATTCGGTATCCGCTGGACCTTCCTCTTCAGGTGAGATAATACTGCTCCAAGAGAAAATTGCAAACTTACATATGATCAGAATACTTGAGAATGGTAGGTGTCTAAAACTCCGGCATGAATTAACCTCTTCCACAATTACATTCATACCTATGCAGACCTATGTACATAATTTGCGTTGGCGTGCTTCGTTTGCGCATAAATAACTTTCTCTTTGCATGTTTAGATTTTAAAATTTTTCCCAAGGTGGAGAAATATCTGCAAAATGGGAAGAAATTAGTATATACATATGCTTCAGATTAGATTGTGTTTTGAGCTTGAGATTTATTAGTTTCGAAATCGTTGCTAATTAGTACAGTGATTTTTAAAACGTACGTACGAAAGTTTACTCTGATTTTCCATATAAAAAGGATTAAACTTTTTACAAGTACTTCCTCTTTAGTTTCAGCAGATGACAAGAAGGTAGCGAAAGAATCGAAGATTGCCAAATTTCTTCGAAGGACGCAGAGTGCTCATGATGACAAACAATGTGCTGGGGGAGGACCGGTGAGTTTGTTTCAAATTTCGGTTTTGGCTGGCAATGAGTATGTATTTATGTATGTAACTGCAATGATGTATGTATGTATATCTCATGTTTATTGACAATTCCCTGGCATCTGTGTACGTGCATATATTAGTGACTCGAGTGAGAAAATCCAAAGTAAATGAACTCGAAATAGGGCAGGAAAATCCTACTCAAAAGTGATTTAAAGTGAAATACCACTTGACACATTGGGGGCAAAGGAACAAATCTAAAGCACAGTAATCCAAATCCATCATTGCAAAAATTAAATTCTCATTTCCTGGACGGATGAGCTCCTGCGGGTGTTTCTCCTTAATTTGACTTTGATCTGTTATTTGCGGACAGATGTTTTCATTAATCAACAGCAAAACTGATCACTGCGTGCAAGCAAAAAGTAGGATGTCTGCAGATGATGATGAAATGAAAGGCGAAAATTTAATTAACGTTTGTGCGATTCTTTTATATTGTCGTTCACAATAATGATGTGTGGTACTGGTAATCCGACTGGATGCACAAGGGAAAAACAAACTTTGTGCATCTGTTGCCCTATTTTACTCTCTCCTCCGGTGGGGACTTTTCTATTTTTGATTTGATGAGACAAGATTCTCTTCCGGCCGAATCTACCACACAGATTGTTTTTGCATCTTTGTGGGAATTACGCCGAAAAAGTTCAAACCCATCCGTAGGAATAATAGTGGGAAGCCGTGGTACATGCGGTAGTACTGGTGCACCAAATTGTTTGCTTTTCTCCATTAACCTCATTTCCTTTGTTTTATTTAACACACCTTGTTTATTGATTTTAAATCCCTCAAATTACAGTTTCACAAGGATTCTCACCGGCTATTGGGAATATAAAAATAAACTGCAAATAAGGTCAGTTTACCTTATTTACCTGCAAAACCAGGCACACAAATGATACACAACTTTTTAAATGCTCTCGGGATAAAAAAACAAGGCTGGAAATGACTGACTAGAATTAGGCCACTTCCTTCATTGCAATAGTATTTCCCTATTGTCAAATCTAGAAATGCATAAGGCAGGAAAATTGAAAAAGTTGGTGGCGCAGTCAGTGCAAAATTCAGAGCTTTGAAAAGATCAAACGAGTCAAAATAATCAAGCGCATTTAGACTTTTGACTAAATTTTAGAAATATTCGAAATGCCACGTCCTCCAAATCTTTAACACTGCATCCATGCGGTTAAGTTTGGTACAAGAAGTACGATACAGTTGAAGCTTACGCTCCTAATTAGAACATAGAATGAGACTCCATTGGAAGTTTCAACGCCGATTTCAAACTTAATTAGGAATAGTTTTCTAAGTCTCCCACGTGGCTATGAAGCCATCAGCAGCTCAACCATGACACTTAAGACATTTAATATTCAATTTGACATCCAACAACTCGTAGCTGAGTTATACGACGTTCAAAATGAGGAAAGTTTGTAAGCCTTTTATGTATGAAAGTCTAAGCAAATACTGGCCAAATGACAGCTTCCAGACCAAAAGAACTTTTGTTTTTCATAGTCAAGAGATTTCAAATTAGGGTCACAAACTCGCTTATATGGGAATCCACTCATGTGCTTATACTTATACATGATATTCTCGAACAAATCAAGTTAACCAATCAAATAAACTTGTGCTCTACTCATGTCAAATTAGCAAGTGCACGCACTGAAAGTCCGAATTTCTAACTTCTAAAACGCGCAACGCTAATTCATGGTAGGTAACACGCCTTTGTTGTGTCACATAAAATGTGTTAGATTTGGTAATCTAAATCTCATTGATTTGATTGGGATCATGAAATTTTGTCTACATATCCAGACCAAACTACATAAGTGAACTTTTAGCTCTGTACCCAACGGGGCATTGAAGTCGTCTTTTCTATCTGATTTCATGGAATCATCCGCTATATCGTGGTGGTTGTATAGACGGCAGAATGAATGCTGCTGATGAGGAGAGAAAGCTGGAAAGGGCAAAGGGCCACCAATTTCGTTTTCATTTCTCCACTCGGATCTATTTTTGGAAACACTTACCTCGTGCCAAACTAAATTCGCTGTCTACTTCACTCATCCATGAAACTGCTTCATATTACAAATCATGCCACGACAGAATTATTCTATGAGTCCTATTTTCTTTTTATTATCTTTCCAATTTACATTTTCAAAATTTAATGGAGTATATCTCATAATTTCGTAGAAACACCGTTCAAAATTTTTATGATTTTTAATTTTATTTTATCTTTGTATAAAAAGTTTTTGGGATTAATTAGTTGTTCGTTATGTGACAAAAATACGATGGTAAAGATGACGGACATGGTGGTAAATAGCAATCAAACTATTATCAATTATGTGCATGAGACTTCTACAGCCAGAGTGAATAGAATTATGCTTGCCCTTTATTATGCCTTATAATTTTTGATACACAGTCAAGCGATACGACGTCGTCTTAAATATTCTATGGCCAGGGATAGATTGCGTAGTTTGGGAACAATGAATTAAGCTTGATCTCGTTCCCAACCTCTATAATTACTCCAATTAAAGTTCTCTATCGTGCTCCCCAAAAATTACAGGGTTTGATCGGAGGTTCATTGATACTGGCTCTATCTGCATGGTTTAGCACTGCATTTTTCATCTTTTACGTAAATCTATTTCGCCACCATAAAGTCCAAAGAGACGTTTGTTACAAATACATTGCATAGAACTTTTTGTTTTACGCATGAAATGTCTTCCGTCCCTTTCAACCTCCGGTTGGCATATATTATGCATTATTATTCTGAGTGTTGTTTATCCATTTCACCAAACTGCGCAAAACTCTTTAAAGTAAATTATATTATCAAATTAATGTTCATTACATAACTATCAGCATCGCAATTCACGTACCTACACATGCACGTGTACGTCACAGTTTGTCCAAAACTAAAGTTAAAATCAGATTATCTTGGAGTTGTTTTTCTGTCATAATTAAGTAAGTTAAAGAGCGCGTGTTACAGCAATTTCACATCCTCCGCAGAGTAACGAACATGTCGAATTTAATTTGATGACCTTCTAGAGGTAAATTGTCTCCACAACCAGAGGATTGCACAAATATTATAGAATCTTGGAAATAAGAACGCATTTGCATAATTCAATCATAGCACTTGATGTCATCAGTTAATGGACTTGACCTATTGTATATATAGCAAAACATTTTCACACAAGTTTCACAAGTAAGCTTGTCATAATTAAGTGTAGAATTCCCAAGATAGCAAACAAGCAAAGAAACAATATGTAATTTATGTGTGCTTCATACATACATAATTATAGAATCATGAGCTAAAATCCTCTAAGGTTTCGAATTTGATTTAATGTTTCTCGACCTTATAATTCTTACGAATGACATTTTTTCTCAATTATTTATTGATCATAAATTACATTTTATCCTTGACTTTAGTTAAGATACTTGATCAAATTATTTAGGTATTGAACAAAGACACTATTGTTTCGAGTCCTTCATTAGAGAACTTGGCAAAGTATGAACAACTAACAAGACGACTTCTTGACTTGGCATTTCAAATAAAATATATAGTTTTAGTTTGAATAAGGAGAAAGACAAAAGTTGGAGAAAATGGTGAGCCAGCGATAAAGATTTAATTCCTTTCCTGCTCAGGATCCAAATCCAATCCTTCACATCCGCGGCATCTACTTCTCCACACAGCCAGAAATTGGAATTACTTATTATCGTGTTGAACAATCTTGGCATTACTACATACACAGGAGCGGAAGGAGGCTTTCTCTTCCTCTCCAGTGAGCAGTTTCTTTAGAGGAAACTCACTTTCACCACTTGAGAGAGATATTCCATATAGGTCGAGGGGAGCTGGAAGCGGGGACCGCCAAAAATATCCTTGAGGATATGCGTCGAGCTAAAAATAGCCCAGCTTAGAATGCTCCATTGTTTCATTTTGACCATAGCCTTTTTAATCTATCCCCTCAGCTCCCAGGCTATAGGACAAAAGTCAGGTTCCAGCGATGACGTCATGGTTTGCACCCCACTTTCCTAAGCAAGTGTTACATTGGACAAATCCCTCCTCCCGCACGTGGGAACCGAGCATTGCACGCAGTTCACGCACAAAAGTCATTCACTTCATTCATTCACCTTTCAGAGCCTCTGACGCAATAAAAGTGGTACAACTAGGCCAGCATCATCTTTCCCTCCAGCAACATGAGCAGCCGAGCTTAAAAGCCAAGTTTTATTAGCAGCCCCAGCAGCACTTGTACACATCACCACGCACGATGCGTAGTTCTCCGATATGGAACAATGTTCTATGTACACACAGAGGATGGAAGCTTGGCTGCACATGCTGATACACGAAATAAGGTCACCACTTGCCGAACGCAACTTTCTCGTCTCAATCGAGAGATGCGATGACGTGGATGGTTTTCTCCTTCAATCACTCGCCCGTATTATTGGCCGTATTATTTATCCTCCGCGTCCACCTGCAAATCTGTAACCATTCGGTAAACCAGGCGGTGATCTGCATCTGAGTAAATGTAACGGGCCTTACTCTCATGTAGCGGGAAATGGGAGTAAGGCCACTGAATAAGTACAAGAGTGGCCTTACCTGAGATAATCACACATTAGGTTAGGAAATTTATATACAAATAAGTTATGCACATATCAGTTGTGTCTTCTGCTTACATTTAAACATGAAAAAATTCTACACTGTTGTAGTTCGATAGTTTGTACGTAGTAAGACTTTCGCCATTCGATTATTTACTCTGGACAGATCACATATTTATTATCTACATTTACACACATGGTTAATAGATTCAAAAAACTACCAAAGCGTTTCATGTGGAAATGGCAAATTGTATAAATCCATTACTATACAAATAATAATGATTCATTAGTTCGAAGTAGCTAAAAATCCTTGATAAACTATTAAAAAAGTTGTATATACTGCTTAATTATGACGCCAATGGCATCGGAAGTTTATTACCATCTTCATCTCG